AGGATCAACATTTTTAATAGGTTTATTCCGGATTTGACTTGCCTAAATGATAAAAAATAGTAACAGATGATCCAAAAAATTAATTTCTTTTGTCTAACTCGATGAGCATATTTAAGGGCATTAAGAGATTCATCGAGATCAACAATACAGGGACTAACACCTACAAAAATAATACATAATCGAAAAAAAACGTATTGTATTTTAAGAGACAATTTACATGTAATCATCAATGTTTTAGCATTTCCACCAAGTGAATCTTTAAGTAAACGAGTGATTTTTGAATCACGATAAGGAATATGACCACCGGCACGTTTTTTTGGATCAGATAATGCACTAACAACATTGCCCAAAGCCAATAAACCAGAATTAATACGAATTGATTCTTGAAAACGTTCACCTGTATTATGTGTACGTGCTACACGTTCAGAACCAGCCAAATCAACAAAGTGAAGTTTAGCAGAAAGATAACTTTCTAAACGAAAAAAACAAATGAAATTTTCAAATCGGCATTTGAAAAATTTACCATCAAATGTTGATTTCATTGGTTGCATAAGACCATCATAAGATGCTTGTACAATTGTTGAATTCGAGTTTTTATCACGAAGACGTTGTTCTACATATATATATATACAAAAATTTCCAATTTATACATTCAGTCAATCCACAGAACTAGATAATGATTTTACTACTGAAGTAAGAAATCAAGACATTCGAATGTTTTTTATTTTAATAAATCATACAAAATGCGAAATAAATGCATGAAGTTTTTAGTGGTCTTTAATTAAAATTCTAAAGCATTTCAGACATCTAGCCAACCAGAAGAATGTTTTGTTTCTTTCAAGTACAGAACGATTCGGAGCACATAAAATAGAGTATATTTCAATTTCATGAAGCAGTTCAGATTCATGCTCTTAGAAATATAAAGTTTTAAAGTGTTGACAGAAGTAAACAAAAGCCATTGTGTTGGCATATTGTAAGGTTTGTATGATTCCTCTTTTTTTCCCGATATCTAGCATAGTTATAAGACTCTGTCTGATAGATAATCTATCGTCTCATGTCTTTCTGAAGATCTCTAAGAAAACAAAACGAAAGTTTTGCTTAATTCTAACTCTGTAGAAGACATTGAAGACTATATATTTACCAAAGAAAATCAATAGACTGATGTAACAATTTTGAGAAATATAAAATTTTTTTCAAAGATTCTCTGAGAGACCGATCTCCTGAGTATTTCTGAAAAGATCTTTTTCTTACGAAAATATGTTTTAAAGCTTTATTTATCTATAGGTGAAAATTGTGTGCCACTCTCTTGCATTTCACATGAGTAATTCGAATACCTTGACTTCTAGAATCGACTGTATTACATACCGATATATAGAGTAAAAATCGCATGTGATCTAGATGATTCATCATTCATTTGTGTTGCACCTGTATGTCGAACAGCTGAACCTTTTTTTAATAAATTAACAACATCATCTACTGAATGACATGTATGTTCACTGGCTCCAATAACAACTAGAAAATTGATCATAGAATATAATGAAAAGCAAACGTTATATTTTGTTCTTACTTGTATTTCCAATAGCATCATCTCGAACATCCAAAACTTTATCATTAACATCAAGTAAATCAATAATATCATCTTTATAAATTTCTAAATATGATGCTGAAATACTAACACGACAATCTTTTCGATTCTAAATATACATTCAATTGATTTTCTAATCATTAACTAATTTCTACAAACTTGAAGTGTATCAAAAACTGTTTTAACAGCACGTGGTATAATTCCATAATCTTTTTCTCCAATTGATAAAATATTTCCACCTGTCATAGTAAAAGTTTTTCCTGAACCCTAACCAGGACAAAGAAAAACAACCAAACAAACAAATTAATCAAGTAAAGAAAAAGTCATAAACATTCACATACAGTTTGACCATAGGCAAATACTGTTACATTGTATCCATCAAAAACATTACTAAGCATTGGTTCAACAGATGTTTGAAATAATTCCTCCTATAGATCAACAAGTTAAAAAATTTCATATATATTTAATTTTCAAAAATTAAATACAAAAAAAACAATTGCTTTATTACTTGTTGAGTTTTTGGTCCAAAAACAAAATCATATTTAAAAGTTCTACGATCACCAATAACAATCTGATTTGTTTGAGGATGAATTGCAACACAACTTTTTTGTTCATGAGCTTTTTCTCGTTGTAAAAATGGTCGAACCTATTCAATTAAAACAAAAATTAAAGAGACTTATTTTCAAATAAACTAGTATTATTTACATACACGAATCGCTACTTTAACACGAAATTCTGATTCATTATTAGTCATGATTTTTTTCTTTATTATCTAAAATGATTTTAAAAAACAAAAAAACAAACCAACAAAAAAAATGAAAAAATTATTCATCTATTGTCCATTTTCATATTTTTGTAATTTCTCTTTTAAAATTTCATTTTCTCGTAATAATCCATCGGTTTTTTCACGCATAATCATAAGCTCATTTTTCAATGATTCTACTTCAGCTGAATCAGGACCACTTGCTCCCATAAAACGACGAACGAATTCGGTTGCATTATTCGGTTTTTCAGCTTCTTCATAAAGTGCAACTAAAGCTCCTAGAAACAAAAATATTTAAGAAAGAAAAATGAGTACTTCTTCAGATCAACGATATTCCTTAATGTGTTCTATTAATTAGTATATGGTTCATTTCACACAAAACCGAACCTAGACATCTTTGATTTAACTTTTGATTTCTTCTCAGAACTATTTTTCTGAATCAGTTCTTTTAATAAAGACATACTAGAACCGTTCAAAAACTTCCGAGACTGATTTTATTTAAAAATAACAAGAAACACTACTGCATTAGTATTTTTGTCTATATATAATTCATACAATTCTCGATCTAGAAATGTTATGAGCTTTGATCGGTTGAACTTTCATGTTCAGATATTGCAACAAGTTTTTAAATTACTCCATATACACTAATAGAAAATTTTAAAATTTAAGCGTCCTTTAGTAGTAAAGCTTCTATCATTGAAAACCCAATCTTCATAGAATATTCATGAACGTATGATGACAGTTTTAAAGATAGACTGTTAAATATTAATGATGATTCTTGATGCGAACGACACAAATATTAAAACAGTTAGAAATTTAGTCATCAAAAAACCTCAAAATGGCTTTCAGCAAATAGCGGACACTTTTAGTATTTCAAATATATGGTACATGACATTTTTACATGATCAATTACATATGACTACAATCTGGTCAAAAACCATCATGCATGATCGACAATTATCACTATAAGTTATTACCATACACTCATAGATATTGGATGGAAATTCTTCATTCAAAACGAAAAGTTTTGCTCAAGTTTCCTATCAGTATGTATGAAGTAATTTAAAACTTATTGCTATAATTAGACATAAATGCTTAATCGATCAGAGTTCATAACATGTATAAATCAAGGATTGCATAAATTAGATACAAGCGACAGTACTAATAATACAGAAGAACTTCCTGATGTTTTTAAATAAAATCAGTCTTAGAACTTTTTGAACGATCCGCTTATGTAAAAATATTGATTGTTTCAGCTAACTATCACTTAAAAAGTAAATTAGCGAATATTCGTCTAATCATACGAGAATAAAATCCAAAAATAATCAAGATAGATTACATGACACGAAAACCGTATCTATCTACCAACGACAAAATCACTGCGAATGGTATTTTTGATAGATATTTTCATTAATAGTCAATCTCGAAAAATATAAGTTTTTCAAAAAATTTTTTCGTCTAGAGAACTTTGTAGAGCTCGTTTCGCTGATCATTTTGGTAAAAAAATATCCAACTTTACTCAATGAATAACACAGCTTGAGTTAAAATACTCAAAACTTTCGACTGTTGGTGCCTGTTGTTGAGTAACAGTTGATATTTTTGAGTATTTTGACCCAAGCTGCGTTATTTATTGAGTAAGGGTGAAGATTTTTTTAACCAAAATGATCAGCGAAACGAGCTCTGCAAAGTTCTATAGACAAAAAAATTTTTTGAAAAACTTATATTTTTCGAGATTGACTGTTAATGAAAATATCTATCAAAAATACTGTTCGCAGTCATTTTGTCGTTGGTAGTATGGTGGAATTTTCAGTAAGAACGAACTTAAAAATCTTCTCCTTCAAAGTCGAGCTTCTAGAAATCCTAACAAGTCTCGAAACAAAATTTTTTATATTAGCATCAGAAGTTTTTTTAAACTACAATGCATGCGAAAAAAGTCGATGCTCTTTTTTGGGTCATGTAGCTACGGAAAGTTTTCTTACTGATAATTTCTCGGAATAAAAGTGTCTAGTGCTGATTTTTAGAATAAATTAACATACATGTAACATTTTAATATTAGCTCTAGAAAAGTTTATTATCTCAAGATTCATATATTTTAATTTTGTAAAACCATGTACCAAACGAATGATTTGGTCCATATAGGATGTTGTTGATCTGTTAAGGAATTGACAAAAGAATATTAAAAGCAAACGTACGTGTGATCGCATCGACAACACCACCTTTTTCAAGATATCGACGAAATTCTTCTCGTTTTGATTCATTAGGACGATAATTCGATGTCATTGTTTTATATGTTGTTTGATAAAAAAATCAATATAAAAAAAAACAAACTTTGATTCAATTTATAGACATTGAGTTTATTCGTTGCTAAGCAACAACTCTATGAGTGAATCATCATCGCACTAATGCATTTAATTTACAATTTAAGATAATTATATTATAAAAGATACTAAAAAAAAATTTTTAACAGTAAAAAAATAGATAATTTTATTTGAATTCATAATTAAAGAAAAGGTTTGAGTTCTTCATAAATGACATCAATCCATAATTTACCAAACACACCGCAATGCTTCTGTTATATTTATATGCATTTCAGCTAAATATTTGATAATTTAAGATTCTCGTTTTTTTTTATATTTAAGATCGATTATCATCATGCGTCCAATCAAAGCACGTGAACAACTTGTTATACCGGATGATGGTATTTTTATTTATTTATTTATTTAGACTTTTTTTATCTAAAATTGTTCTTCTTTTTGTTTCGTAATTAGTTAAAGTTAGTGTTAAAAGTCGTGTTGTTCAAGTAACTGGTGCCCGAGGTAAACTTGTACGAAGTTTTCGTCATGCACGTGTTGATATTTCAATGCCAAAAAAAAATTTAATTGTTGTTGAAAAATGGTTCGGAACAAATAAAGAAAATGCTGTTGTTCGTACCATTTGTTCACATATTAACAATATGATCAAAGGTGTTACAAAGGTAAGCTTGATAATCATAAGCAATGAACATATTTTTTTGTTTACTCTATACATGACTTTCATTCTCATACGATGTTATGCATGTGTTTATGAATCACACCAATAGATGAAGTGATTGTGTTTCAAGCAAAAAAGAATATCCAATACTCTGATATAAAGCAAATGACAGTTATCATTTATCATAATCTGACAGATACTTTTATCTGTTATGATATGTGAAGGCACGGAGCCCAGCTTGTTGTGTTAGATTTTACCTATTTGGATTTTAGCACTAAAAATTGGTTTTTTTTTGAGTAAACAACCACTCTTTTAAATTAAAATTACTATTTTCGGTCAAACAAGGTGGCTTTTCGATAAATCTCTTGATTTTTAGTTCGTATATAAATATATTAATTTTAAATATGGAATCCAGCTGCTTAAATATATTCAATAACATTATATTGTCACTTTTATAAAGAGAAAAATTCTAAGATGAAGCTTTTCGAAACAGATTTGTACTATTGTCTAAATCCTAGATAATAAAATCAGTATATCTATTCAAGAGAAATAAACTTAATAATACAAAGAGAATCAATAAGACAGCTGATCACATCTATATCTAACGTATGACATGCACTTCTTAGTATAAAATATTCGCTCATTATTCGGCTCAGAATACAACACTGATGATTCTGGACAGATATTCATAGTATTCACCAGTATCCACTGATGGAGGAAACTTGGTAACTGAAAGTTTCTGGATATGAGTCATTCATCAAGAAGAGCTAGTTTCCAAAAGTAACGTTTTTGTTATATAGTTTAATCAAAGACTTTCGGGACCGAGAATTTAAATACTCTATTTGTTAGATACTTTTCCTAACATAGCCTTTTTCAGAGTGAGAAATAGATCACAGATTCGGACTCCTCGACTTCGATAGTCATAAATCAAACTTTATAGAGTAAACACTATTTTTACGAAACAGACTTTTCTTGATGAAAAAGTCGAATCCTAGAATTTTCAGCTGCTAAAAGACAACTGATTAGAGTTCAAAGCAAGTATGTCAAATTGGAATTTTTAACCTATTTCGGAAAAATATGTTCAGATTTTTCATGTTGGATAAGGTTGAACAACTATCAATAAACTTTGTGAAACAGTCCAAAACTATGTTTGTTCAATGCAAAAAAGCAGTTTTGCCGAAGTCCTTAGTTATGTGTCTGGAAAGTGTAAAGCACTGAACTCTGTATAAAATGAGATATTACAATACACGAAATCTTCTCAATGTGTCTCCACTAAAGAACTAGTTTCTATAGAAATCTGCCATATAAGATAATACAAAAAAGTACATAGCATGCATCGTAGAGCAAACTGAACCATTACAATTGTTTTCATATATTGAATTTGATAGGTTTCAATTGAAATAACAAACTGAGTAAAATAGTAATCTGTACAACTACTATTTTGAAACAATGGAATGATTGTATGTTCAATCTTACCTCGGAAGTAAATTCTGATGATATATTCCGACCGAATCATAAAGTATAATTTTAACTAATTGCTTCTGGCTCTAACTAGTTTTCTTTAACTGACTAAAAAATGAATCAATATTTCATGCCAAAACTTTTGCACCATAGATTATTATTGTTTAAAAATATAATGCATTTTAATTAAAGCCCGAAACAGCTATAATAAATATATCAACGATTGAGATAAATATCATTATCATCAATTATTTTTTCTTTTATCTTTCGTTTTAGGGTTATTGCTACAAAATGCGTTCAGTTTATGCTCACTTTCCCATCAATACTGTTGTTACCGATAATGGTCAAGGAGTCGAAATCCGTAATTTCTTAGGTGAAAAATTCGTTCGTCGTGTTAAAATGCAACCAGGTGTGAAAGTTTCAGCAAGTACCAAACAAAAAGATGAACTCATTTTGGAAGGCAATGATATCGAACTTGTGTCGCGATCAGGTATAAATTTTAATATATTCTATTTATGATTTATTTTTACGGTTATGTTTCTTATAGCTGCACTTATACAAATGTCAACAGCAGTAAAAAATAAAGATATTCGTAAATTTCTTGATGGTATTTATGTCAGCGAAAAGTTAACCGTTGATGAAGCATAAACAAAACGTGCACTTGTTTTAGTAATATTCAAAAAAACAAACCGTTTATATTATATTTTGCGCGTTTAAAACAATAAAATAAAAAAAAAAAGAAAGAAAGAATCGAACGAATGAAAAAGAAAAGAAAAGAAGAATAAAACTTTGTTATGTTCTTTTTCTTCAGACGTGTATTATGATAAAAACAGAATAAGAAAACATTAAAGATGAACGATCCTTCTCCTGATCTGATAAACGACGCTCAAATACATCAAAAATTAAACGAAAATCAACTTTCATACGATGAACTATTTCATCGTGTTGATAAGAACAATGATGGAAAAATTGATGTTAATGAATTAATTCAATTATTAGAAACAGGTGATGTTGAAACGTCGCCTAAAAAACGTGTGGCTATCGCACGTGTAAGTTATGTTTAACATTGAGATCGAAAGAAACTATTTTTCTTTTTCTTCTTACATGCTATCATAGAGTATTATTCAGCAAGGTAGTGGATCGTCAAAAGCATCAACTCTTACGTTTCAACAATTTGCTGATTATGTTTTAAAACAAGAAAAGAAACTTAGTCTAGTTTTTCGAAATGTAGATGCTGCTCATCAAGGTAATAACAAAAAGAAAATAAGAAAAATAAAAGCTCATTTCGGATTAATGATTTGCATTTTAGGAAAATTCGATGCAGAAGATTTAGTTTTTTATTTTAAAAAGCTTGGCATCACAATTGATTTAGCAGAAGCGAAGAAATTAATCGAAAAGTAAATCATTAGCAATATTTGTTTGTTTGAAAATGGACTTGTGACGACTTACAATTTCATGGATCGGTTCTTTTTCGAAATCTGTATCAAGTTTAGAGCTCTGCATCGATCTTTGAAATCCGACTAGGCTGCGACGGAGTCGAAGTTGATATAAATTATAGAAACTTTGACAATTCTATTTCAATCTTTTCTTATCTAGTATTTTTTTTGGTAATTGTGACGTCAAGTAAACGAGGAGTGCCAAGTCAATAGCCAGATAACATGAAATAGTAAAACTAGAAAAAAAAAAACAACAATATGAGAAGATATGTACCTTTGATTAACTTTTGTTGTTCGACGTATTTTCGTCCTCTTCGAGTCAGCTTAAAGATACTTCACCCATCTTTTTTGGTCCTATTCAATTGTCGAAGAGTTTACAACTGACCCACATGAAATCTTTACTATGGCCAGAGCATCTAAAACAAAGAGAAACGTGTTCGCAGCTTTTTCTAGCAAGCCCTGATTTTCTGCAAGATTACATCAGCCCTGGTTACGATCTCTCTCAGTAACTTTATTTTCTGACCGGATGTATAGAGTGCTGAACATGAGCATTTCAATTTAGGATTCAAACCTTGACATATTTCTTCTTTGAAAAAAAAAGGAAAGCAAGGTTTTTGAAAAAGTTTAAAATCATCTCTAAGATATAGTCTAAGGTATATCGAAAGGAATTCTCGACCAAAATTGATCAATATGACACGAAAACCATAAGTCGGCTCGACGTGAAACCATGGAAAACTAGAATTTTGCACAAAAGAACCACAAAAACCTGGCATAAAGTTTGTTTTCTCAAACACACGCCTCATTATTTTAGGTACTCTTTCTATTACAAAAATTTTATTTGGATCGATTATATCATATTCAAGAACCGGAGATAGTCAAAACGAGAAGGGGTAATCTTAAAGCACATGATATCATCGGATACGTTAGCTGTCGCTAATTTACCAGAAACAACACTTTGAAGTTAAAAAAACGTGATTTCAAAGGTTTCTAGTCACATGACCAGCTCTTCGTTTAACAATTGGATCGAATGGTCAAATCACTTCATATGAGCTATATCTACTGATAGTGTTAACGTAACAATTCTATTCAATAACTGTTCCATTAAAAAAAAAAACGAATTGGTCAATAGTTTCAACTTTTTAAAAAGAACTGCATAAATGATGACAGTTCCGTGCTTCGATTGCGAGTTGTTACAAGTCTATTTGTAAATCGAATTCTATTCTTTTTGTTTATTTAGAATGGATCAAGATCATTCTTTACAAATATCATTTGATGAATGGCGTTCGTTTTTCATGGTTAATCCAGCAATTCTCGAAAGTATTACTAATGATCCACGTGCAATGCTTCGCTATTGGCGTAGTGCACCGGTTTGTTATTTAACATTTTATTCTGGCTAAAAACTATGAAATGTTGTTTGATCAGTATCTAGATTTAGGTGAATCTCCTTATGGTGCACCTGAAGATGCGTTTACAGAAGGTAATCAATGGTGGAAGAATCTTATAGCAGGTGGTATTGCTGGTGCTGTATCAAGAACAGCTACTGCACCATTTGATCGACTTAAAATTATTATGCAGGTGTGGACCTTTTTCGAAAACAGTTTCCTTGGATTTCTTTGCTATCCATTGAAATTCTAAACGATCGATTAATCTTGTTAGATTTCTTAGTATTTGGGTTCAAGACAACATATGAGTGTAATAAGTGGTTATCGATATTTAATTAAAGAAGGTGGTGTGAAAAGTTTATGGCGTGGAAATGGTGTTAATGTTGTGAAAATTATACCTGAAACAGCATTACGATTTACATTTTTTGAAGAAGTATTTTATTGATATGTAAATAGAGATTCTAACTTTTATTAATTTGTTATTTATAGTCGAAAAAAATATTGAAAAGAATTCAAAATAAAGAATTAAATGCAGAAACAACAGTTGCTGAACGATTTTTAGCTGGAGCATTGGCTGGTTTTCTTTCTCAAACTGTTGTCTATCCATTAGATGTAATTATGATTGACTTTTTTCTTTGTAAAACGTTTTTTTTCTTTAAATTTAGGTGTTAAAAGTACGTTTATGTTTAAGACGTACAGGTGAATATACCCATTGGAGCGAAACTGTCAAACGTATGTATAGGTTGGAAGGTCCAAAAGTATTTTGGCGTGGTTATGTACTCAACCAACTTGGTATAGTTCCCTATGCTGGTTTTGATCTAGCATGCTATGAAGTAAATATACCTACATATATAAGTGAATTGCAACATTATTGTAACTTTTTTTTGGGACAAAAAAAGAAGGAAAACAAAAACTTTCAATTTAAACGATGATAAGTAGTGCATTTTACTCTATTAAATGAGAGGAGAAAATGAATAGATTTTTGCCGACTACTACTATTTGTATGACCATGATAGATGAGAATCATTCAAAGCTCATGTATACGACTTTTCCACATATACAATGAATACCTGCCGAAACAAGCAAGATTTAAAATATTTTGATAAATCTTAACTATATAAGACTAATAGTATGTTTTATGATATCTATTCAGGATGAGACATCATTTGCATACAATGAGTTTTATAAGACACAAATTAGAATTCGTCCACAATAGTTTTCGTAGAACCTAAGAAAAGAACTAAACTTTCATGTAACGTATTTACTTTGACCATCATTCTGAAGTATTGTAAATGCTATAATTTTGCGTGACATATGATGCTGATGTTTTAACGGTGGTTGATTATAATGAATCGATAAGAGTGATCAGAGTTTCATTAAAAATTACAGTATCATAAGAAAGTTATCGATCAACCTAAATGAAAAATCTACCATGACATCTAGAGTGTCAACCAAATTTTCCAGTATTATTCCATTTTTGATAAACAAAGAAATAATAAAATTTTCTCTTCTTTTTTCTTACCCACTGATTTTCATTCAATAGTACGCTGTTTGTTTTTAGTTGGTTTGTTTAATCTCTAGGTTATATTTAATTTCGTATTCTACAAAACCGAATAGTAGCTGTACATCTGAGATTAAGAATATATTATTTATAAAAAATGTGATAAAAGTTCTAACCAGTCTTATATTTGAAACGTGCAGACTCTTTTCTATAGTTCTGCTAGCTTGCAAATTTTACGCGAGAAAAGAAGAAACAGGTGACACGACATGTTTTAACAGGAGATGGCAACACAAAATTCATCGTTTATACTGTCTTTGATTTTTTTGTGTGGTAGTAAAGATCTATTAGAGGAATCTAATCTGAAAAATCATAAAAACTGACTGAAAAAAAAATTCAAAATATGGAACTTCTTCACATAATTTTACATAGCAGTACAATAAAGTTATAATTCACCTAATTATATCTTTTTGCTTTAATTATTCCTAAAAATTTTCTCATCAATTTAGAGTCTTAAGCGTCTTTATATAACAACACATAACAATCAAGAACCACCGATATATGTAGTACTTGGTTGTGGTGCACTTTCATCATTTACTGGTCAATTAGTTACTTATCCAATTGCTTTAATGCGTACACGTCGACAAGGTCAAATTGTACCATTACCAAATATGGATCAAAGTAAAGCTCATCCAGTATTACCAGCTAGAACAATGGTCAAAGAAATATGGCATAACGAAGGAATGGTTGGCTTTTATCGTGGTCTTGTTCCAAATATTCTAAAAGTTGTTCCAGCTGTTTCAATATCTTATTTAGTTTATGAGACTATTATAAAAGCTATTTCGTGATGACATTATCAAATGGAAAGCATTTATGGAAATATATTCTGACAATTTTTTTTCTCGAATTTTAGTGTTATTTTTTCATTGTAACAGTTAAGTTCTCAATATACGAGCGATATTTTTTTGGCTATTTTTTTAAACATTGACTCATTTCTTTATAGCTTTAAATGTAGAAATTAGTATGACACAGAACATCATTTTCTATATATGCTCAATAAGAAACAATGTATTTGTATAAAAAAAATATTGAATCTAGTCGAAGTGTCAAATTTACCGAAAAATATGTTCATATACTGTGCAATGTGGAGCGATGAGCTCAAGCTATGTTTTATTATATGCACCACAACAACGGTTACTAAGAAACAAATCAGGTTTTCTACTAATTGAAAACCAATATATATATTGCTTGAAAGAACTCATGAAATAATAGCGATACATGACAACCTAATTCGATCGATGGATATTCGTTCGTACATTCTTATGGTACTATTAAAGCACCTTCTAACGGCTTTGAGCTAATTTCGATCAAATGAGATCAGAAAAATTGAGTTTCATTTATGTAACTATTTTGTTCCATTTTAATTCATTTATATGTTTAATATTTGGACGATCAAATCACATTTTGCTCCAACAAAACGCTTTTTTCAATTAACAGCAAATCTTGTTTATTTTTTCTATTTGTTTACAGAAAATTGCTTGCGAATATTCTGTAAGACTTTGTGTGTCCGAGAACATACGTAGTATTAGTCTTCACTAATCTTTTATCGAACTACAATTATAACGATAACTGCTAGAAAAAAAAATACCATCAGAGAAATAAGATGGACTTTGTATCAATAGGCAATTCCAGCAGCGATTTTATTAATATTTATTTTGATAGAAGTGAGAGAGAGAATTCTAATTTCAATCGGGTGTGGGTGCGGCTCCTATTTCCAAAGCACCCACATTCACATTCCACAGACAAATATTCGATCATTGAATTTTATTCTTTCTTCCAATGTTTCGTGTCAAGACATTCATTTTCGGAAAATAGTTCTTCTATCTGGAAAACTAGTTTTTTTCTTATCGCTTTATCTTGTTGGATTTCAATGTCGTGATGAAATTCTCTGCTGACTATATCATAAAGAATCGTCGAAATATTTGTCTACTATTCAAGGACTTTTTTTTTTCTAAAACAAATGAATCATCATCGATATCGTGAAGAAATTCACAATAATTCTACATACCATAAGCAATGTGCAATCTAAATGGAGATTTTCCTCTTATACTTTCGTTCTTGTTGTCCGATGACAAATAATATAGGTATCAAAATATTTGTTGCACAAAACATTAGGTTTTCTTATCTATCTTCCTAAAACACTTGTTGCTTGTTGTTAGTGCAAGTTGATGATGACTTGCCACTCCATGGGAAATATACTCTCGATATGACTCATATTTCCACTTTCTTTTTTCCTTTGAAAGATGCAACTATTTACAGGAAAACAACTTCAACATACACTGTATATGCGATGGCTATAGACTGTATCGTACACGATCACAAATTTCGTTCAAAATTTCACAGCACTGTTAATCAGCTTCGTCGAATGAACGAATTCAATGCCAATATTCTTAAACAACTTCCCAAACGATGTTGTTCGTGCCATGGACGCAACGGTGAGAAAGCATTGTTGAAGTATCTAGCAAGAAATTTGTTAGATTAATCTATTTTTCTAGTCAATAGCTCTTATGCCCATTGGAAGTGACTTCATCACGCTTCGATTGCAATGAAATCTATTCGGTAAAAATAATTATTTCTTAAGTCTTTGGTTTTTTCTTTACGTCTATCTTCGATTGATCTCAATTCACTTCGTGCTGTGTACCGTGAAATCTAGATGCCACCATCAGTAAAGGTGTCTCCTTCGAAACCCTTTCACTTCGTCGTCCTTCCATTCATTGCGACACTTACCGAACAACAACGTAAATCCAAATGTGGCTATTTCATAGACTGTAAAGGTCAACATATTCGTGCCCTAAAAACTCGATTCATTGTTTGTCTCAACATTGTCAATAGTTCATCTGTTGAAACTTTACATGACAAAGTTAACGAATGGAAAAAGAAGAACATGGGAAATGACAGTCACCGCAATGGTCTTTGGATAATGTTGTCAATCAAAGAAACCAAGACATTAAGTAACTTGAGGATAATGATAATGAGAAACTACGGTGGGATCTTTTCAGGCAGAACGAAGAGGCACTGCAAAAGAACTGCAGATATAGCCTCCTTTCAAGCCTTGAGGGAAATCCATACAATTGAAGAAGCTCTAAAAAAAATAGGATCAAGCTAGTGAGCATCCCTCTCAACCACGATCTCAAACCAAATCGAACGAAGTAAATGAGGAAGGCAAAATGCTGGCATTATCGATCGACGTAACCCATGATACTTGATGGCACTCTAAATGGCGAGGACATTCTAATAGATATCATACAAATAAAAAAAAATGCTTAATACAAGAGGAAGTTGTTCCACAGCCACCAATAATACCACTTTAATCTCCTCAAGTTGTTGAAAAAGCATTAAAGTCAATCGAAATCGAAAGAAATAGTATGAGTGCCATGAATACTTGATTAACACTCTGTGCTGGTATAAAGTTTATTTGAATATAATTGCGATTGAATAAACGTTTAATTAATTGTTTTCATCGTTGCTTTTTTTATACTTAAACATAATTCTGTTTCTCAGGTGTAAGTTATTTCTTCAGTATATGATATTCTATAGTGTTCAACTCTTTGCCGCAGAAAAACGACGCGCCATCATGAACTATATGGTTCACAAATACTATCGCCCACAACAGTATGGTCTTATTGCGAATTTGCAAGAGTTTTCTCCAGAACAGACTACTTTCGTATTCAAAGAAGCTGATATATTAATGATATTTCAACAATAGTCAATCGTCCTATTAAAAATTTTTATGTAACACACCATCTCTGATGAACTTTTATAAATAGCTCCTTAATAAACCGAAAAAAATGTTTAGTCTGCAGACTTCTAGAGAAGTGGGGGTATGGAAATATGGTTGCAAGCAGGATATCTGTTATTTTTATTATTATATTTGTCAAACTTGAACTTCGAGTATTCCGCTTTGATTTATGTATCACTTGAAAAAGAGCCTATATCTTATGTTCATTTGAAAAATGAATTTTTTCCATATAACCGTATCTATTTATCATGGATCTTGTGCCAGATAAAAATTCTTAACAAGACGATTGAGTATTATTAAAACATTACTATTTCAATAAACTATGAAATAAAAATAAACATATTGTCTCAAAAACTCTTCGGAAAAATAAACAGACATCTCTTACACAACTGAAGCAGGTTCTATCTATTTTCATACGATGATAGCAAGTATTTTGAACTTTTATGCAGCATTCTCCCTGATAGATGCTTTTGTCTATAAGCATGAAGATGAGAATAATTTCATTATCCTTCTCATTCGGATCGCATATAATTATAAAACCAAATTTTTTCAACGCATAGAATAAAGGATTATAAGTAAACTGGATTAAATAACACTTTCAAAATTTTTATGAAATTAGTATCAATACAGACTAACAACTTTTTGTAAGCTCTTTGTAAGTTACAAAAGACAAAGTAACAGTTAACTAGGATTATAATGTTCGACTAAATTGATCATGATGAATTATTCAGCGTTGAACAACATCTTACTAATTTGCATGAACAATATCTCATTGAACTGAGACTCAATTTGTTTTATAGGTGTCATAATTGGAGAGAAGTGTCCGTGTGCATGCAGGAAGGTATGAATTAATTAATTAATAAATATTCAGTTATATCATAGTTTTATATATACTTCATTATCAATACAAATAAAATGTCTTCACTTATTGGTAATTTTACTTTATCGATTCTTCATTTCATTCAAACAAAATACAAATCAAGTATCATACATCCAACAAAAAGAGAAAAAAGCTGCGATATAGCAGTGGATGTTAGATGCGAAAAATTACACCAACAGCAATATACAGAACCACTCTCCATACCTTACACCCAGTTGTAAACGTTTCTGCTGAATAGATAAAATTCAGTTTATGAGGTGTAAACTCTGTAACAGTAATCTTTTTTTTTCTTAACATTACTTCCAAAGCACACCGTATTCCTAAGAGATACTTTTTTCTCGATTGGCTGATTGCTGTCGAATACAGTATAAGTCCACGTGAGATACTGTAGTAAAATATGGATGATGTTGAAAAAGCAAGGAACTTGTTCCAAATACGGAACAAAAATTTGTCAGAGTTCTCTTAAATTGTTTGTACAACATCGTAATAACTCTGTTTCTTCCTTTCAATCGATCATCAGCTAGTTATCTTGCTCCACATACCTGAGGCTACTAGAAAAATCTTCTCACCAGTTCTTTTTTCTTTTAATATTGACTCAAGAATAATATAGAATTGCTAAATAACACAACTACGTTATATATTTGTAGGTAAAAGAAGACATTCGGTTGAAGTAAATCAAGAAAATGGGCGTGAATGTTGATGTCGTCATCGTTGGAGCTGGAGCAGCTGGAATCGGAGCGGCAATTGAACTGAATAAAACGTCTCTATCATTTGTTGTGCTTGAGGCACGAAATCGGATAGGTGGCCGAGCATACACCGATAGAGAAACATTTTCATCAATTCCAATTGATCTTGGCGCTAGTTGGATTCATGAGTATGAACCAAACAATCCGATGTATTCATATTATCAAAAATATAAGGCTCATAAACAAAATGACTGTGACGACAATGATGATGAAGAAATCATCAATCTTGATTATGACGGCCAATGTCTCTCATCTGAAACAGAGCAACAAGCGAAAGTCGTGTGTGCGCAATTATTTGAGCATTTGGAAAAATTTGCGTGTAATAATGATGAGGAAGAGGATCAAAGTGTCGAAGATGTGATCAAGTCTCACTATGACCAACTTGTTAAATCTGAAGGACAAAGAAAACGTATTATAGATAGTTTTCTTGCAACCGTAGAAGTGTATGAAGCATCGAATTTTGCTACACTTTCCGCTAAACAATGGGAAACAATCGATGAGAGTACAATATGTGAGAAATTTGTTTCATTCGGTTATGGAACACTACTTGAATACATTGTTGATCAGCATAAATTGCCGATTCGACTGAATACACTTGTGACACGTATTGATACGTGTGATTCCGATACAATCGCCATAAGAACATCAAGTATCTGTTCTCCGATTATTTGTCGTCGTGTTGTTGTAACTATACCATTGGGTTGTTTAAAACAAGAAACGATCGTATTCGAACCTCCTCTACCCGAATGGAAACGTCAAGCTATTTTTCAAATGGGTCTTGGCCTGATGAACAGATTTGTTCTACAATTTTCTGAACAATTCTGGGATGCAAAGAAGACAATTCTGTTGCGTACATGCACCGAACAACGAGGTCGGTTCTTGTACACAGTCTGTCTACCTTCACCAGCCAATATTATCATATTTCTTATCACTGGTATCTATGCTCATGAGCTAGAGCAACTGACAGATGCTGAAATACTTGAACAGGTGATGATCTTTCTTCGACAAATCTTTCCTCAATCACAAGTACCTGACCCTATCAAGAGTAAATTTACAAGATGGTCTCAAGACCCTTTTGCTTTCGGTGCTTACTCCAACTATGCTGTCAATTCGAATGAACAAACTGTTAAACTACTGGCTCGAGAGACAGCCGATGGACGAGTGCATTGGGCCGGTGAACATACTTATTTTAATAGTAGTACGGATGAATGGATGCATGGATGTGTTCATAGTGCTTTTCAAAGTGGCCGCCGAGCTGCCTTAGCCATAAAAGATCAACTTGATTCTTCTTCCTTTTCTTTATCTAAGTAATGTCTAAATAGATTACTAGAATGCAATAAACCTTTTCAATGGTACCCCTTTTAGCGAACAACATAGAAAAAAAAATCGAACGATAATTTTATGTCATAAAACTGACAAAACAAGCCAATTAACTCTAAAAAATCCAGCATATATATTTTAGCAATGGGTAGACATTCATTTCGAAAAGACGGAGTCTAAACTTTCATTATCGAGATACTACAGCCAAACACAAATTTTCTTGTTCTCTGCTCAAGATATAAATTGTGTTAGCTTTCGGTTTACATAATCCGATGATGATCGAAATATCAACGATTGTTTCAAATAAGAACCTGTGAAAGATCAGACTGCCCTCGATAATATCGGTTTTCGTTTGTGCAATAGAAGTGGCACCCAGCATAAATACTTATATCACATTGAGGATAGTTTTACAAAAGAAAATCGCAGTACTACCTATAGCTATTAGCTTTGTTGAATTCGCGTAATACTCAAAGTAGACATCCAAGGTGAGACTAAAGACGATCCTCTAGCGAAGGAATGCATGTGAAAGCCTTTTCTTCCTCCATTCCACTATAAATACATTCACACACTCCGCACACACTTTGATCGGCATGCTCGAGTTCTCAAAAAATGATCGATATTAATCAATTCCGTTAACATTAGACATTGGCTAATCCAAGAATCAATCGTCTGGTCAACCGCGTTTGTCTTCTTGTAAAGAAAATAATAATATAGGTCGTTGCAATCACGATTGTTGGAGGGAGACACTAGTTATAAAGCTTGATAGTACAAGAGAAAATATATTGCAATTAAGATCAGTACTATGGAGCATAAAAATGAATGACTAGAACTCAAAATGATGTTTTTAAGATGATTTTACAATAAGAAAAAAAGGCATTCGACATAGGGTAAATGTATCAAGAAACATGGATCAAATGATAATAGTTTCAAGCAACATCTGGTTATCAAAAAGTTTATTATCTCACAACACAGATTTTTTTTTTAGTCGTATAAAAAAATCAGTACATATTTTATCGCTTCCGATATAGAAAGTACCTGTTTTAAAAATCCATACCATTCGTGAAGAGTTTGCAAGTATGTTTTAGTTTAATTTATGAAATATCGCTTGTTTAATTTTTACACTCCATAACAGTTGCGACAAGATGCTTGACAAATGATAATAGACATAATCGAATAGTGGATAGCCGTCACGATGTCTTGTTATCAAAAGCTACAGAGCAACCATCAGAGCATTATGATACTTAGCAAGTGATAATGAGGTAGGATGGATGAAGATGTACGATCTATTGATTGCTATCCACGAGTAATAGTTTTGGGTTATATTATTTTTAATTGATAAAATATTCGAACATATTAAAACTTTATGGAGCTAACTACAAGGCTTGTTTGTAAGATTACAATAGTTTCTGAAACATGAAAATTTGCCGATGCACAATAATGCATTTCATGTTTTATTGAACAAATGAAAAACTATCATGCTTATACTGGATTTGATTTGTTATATAGAAAAGTATTAAAATTTTGTAAAGAAATTCGAGTTGACAAGTAGTACAAAGCCAAGACAACCACGACGAAACACGTGTCTGTACATTTAATACTTTCAGTACGAGATTATTTTTAGAAACTTAAAAATTTTTCAAATCGCAAATCAACGTTTATTTTTTCAAAATATAACGATATACATGATTCAGAATGCTTTTAGAGAATGGTAGTCTTTGAAAGAATTCGTTAGACACAACTCTACATCACATTCAATACATTCACACAACATTTATCTTTTTTGACTTGGCTCCCCTCACAGTATAAGTATAAACGCAACATCGTGGTGTTCGACTCATTTGTGTGACTGTTAATACAATGCACGAAGGAAAATGTCGTGCTGTGAGTCGAAATGGACTTTCAGAAGATGGTCGATTAATTGAAGTTCACCTCTGATTAACTATATTTTACAATAATCTTTAGGTTCCCATCTAGTTGATAAGAATTCAAACGAAGATTCACATTTTTAATCAGTTTATATATAACATACGCATTATAACTTGTAAGATCCATCAAGTTGAAGAAGAACTTTTTTGTACCACTTCAGCGATCGACGAATGCATTATGAAAACTTAATTTGTATGTCATATTTATCGACCAAATCCACATTCTCATTATATTCTTTTACAAAAAAAAAAGTTTTATTTTTATTACTGTTTCACTGCAAAGTGAACTTTTCCTATGATAACTAATAATTGGTTTATTAAGCGTAGATAGCAATGTAGCATCACGTTTATTGTCCCGTATTAAAAGCTTGTTTTCTAGTTTTCACTGTTTCTTCAAAGTTTGGTAAACCACCAGCGCAGTTCTTCTTGATCACTCTAAATGCTTCTGTATTATAACAATGAAGATATTTAAATAAAGCAGGAATGAAATCGATTTTATTCACAGGCAATGAATGACCTCTGTTAGAGAAGCGTTCGAATAAAGTTATAATTATAGATCCGGATACATCAAACTCATCTTAATAACAGAGTTCTTTTTTTCAGCTCTAGAATGAGAAATGAATTTTTTTATAAAATTTATTTTGTAGTCACAGAGTAGAAACATTTTTATTTTGAGTTTATGGTGATTTGGTGGTGTGTATTGTTTGAACTGTAGACGATTCTTCCATGAAATTAAAGATTAGTCAATGCAAAAGTTGTCGTACAGATTCAAGCACAAGAAAAATCTTTTTTTTAATTCATGAATAATAGGCTATACCTTGTAAAGTTTATCCCAGCATTTTGATTTGGGTTGTCATTGAAATGAACGCTAGTTAGTAAAGCTCTGGAAAAGTCTGTGGTGAAGCGTTCAAAAAATATGTGTAGTATAATAAAATGATCCGAAGACCAATAGTCATGGATACAGTTTTTTTTATCGAATGAGGCATCAACATGACCGTAGCTAAAAATGTATAAACTTATTTCAATTTGATTTGAATAAAAAAAACAATAGCAGCGTACCAAGAGTATAGTTTTTTTTATGGTTCAAGATAATTCGCAATCACTTGAATTAAAAATAAACAGACGAGTGTTGAAATTTCCTTTTATCTGGTTCCTCGATGTAGAAGAGATTCCTGCAGGAGGACGTTTCGATTTCTCTTCGAATTCACTGGTATCTTCATTTCCATTTGCAGCTTTCGTCATATAAATATTCTTTCGACTCAGTGCCAGATTCTAAACCCATGGTAGGTTCGGTAATTTCATTATCCGGCTTTAGATTGAACATAATCTCGTTTCGTAAATAAAGTATTTCTTTAAAATACAAAATATGTCGATGTAAATCGCGTGTTCGTTTGAATAATAAGAATAAAATATATCTATATATGTATACATATACCAGTCAACACAGAAAATAAGACTCTGCGTGAACGCTCTTCAAAGAATATATGAAAGAAAACAAGAGAAAAATCATGACATCATTCTACGCTAGTAGAAAAATATAGAAAAAATACACATGAATCGGAGGTGTATGGCTTATGACCTTTGTGACCTTTTATGTGAAAACAGGTACTTTTCATTATTCATCAAATACGATCGTTCGATCAGAATTTTTCTTACAAATACCATGCTTGAACGATTTTTATTACACAAAATATCTTTTTGAGAGCGACGGTTCTTTCTCTAAACATGTTACCAAACTGACACAGATACTAACTCATTAAATGATATGCTGATTACCTGAAATATTAAGGGACAACCAATATTCATCAATACGCGTAGATGATCTTAACGGCACAAATATCCATGCAATTCATATCATTTAATAACCAAAAGACCATGCTTTTGTTAAAGCTATTCAGAGCCGAAAATTATTGGACAAAAATTATCGCCACCTGTACTCAAAGAGCTGATAAAGTGACCATTTCTTCTATTATACTGACTACTTAAATGATAGCCAAAAAGAAGTCCTGATTCCGATAATGCATAGTTACCTTTGAAAGAAAAGCGTTTCGTGCTCAACGATTTATTTAAGTGTTCGACTTTTAAGAAAACATCGATTTCGCTATCATTCCCCATTGGCAGCTTCGAACTGTATTTGGCAGTCGGTTGAAATTCTGAGACCACCTAGTGTTTTTCATAAATTGAGGAAAACAACAGTGTTTTCAGTTCAAAATCGTCATTTGATGAAACGAATTGATAACGAATGGAATTTCGTATTCAAGCTTCTCAAAAAAAAATTTGATCATGTAGAAATATAGAACTTAGTACCAATCTTTGAATGAAAACCGTAAGACTCACTGATCTTTAGATCATCGTGATACAAAATAAAGATTTCGATCCATATGGCGAAAAAAATAATCTCGCTATGGGCTACTGCTAAATACTTCACGCCGTGGAATCAAATCAATAGACTTATTGGTATTAATCACTGTTATGTTGCAGTTAACTGAGTTTATTGTTTGGATTACTAATCCACATTATAGTTGAGCTTTAAAAATTCAAACATCTGTTATATAGTTTATGTAGTTGCTTACGGCCATACCACATTGAATACACCAGTTCTCGTCCGATCACTGAAGTTAAGCAACGTCGGGCTCGGTTAGTACTTGGATGGGTGACCGCCTGGGAATACCGAGTGTCGTAAGCTATTTTTTATTTATCAATCATAATGACAGACCATAATTCAGCTGAAACTTTTCTACTAACTCGATTTTATTCTATAAAAAACATCAGAGAGAACGTTATAAGTTTGAAAATCTTCTTTTCTTTATAATCTCAATACTATGATGTGCACAGCTGCAACGATTAAAATTCATTCATTCAATCTAATTCAATAACATTTATAAGCGTTAGATTTAAATATTTTATTTCTTTAAAAAACAATCAAATACAGTTTATATAATTCATAATTAAAGTTATTATTCAATGGTTACATAAATATTATCAACAGTTGCATTTGCTTCTCGAAATACAATTGTAAGGTCTAGTTCGACAGTAGTTGAAGGGCACGGAATAGTAGCAATAAATGTTGACGGTTGTGCAAACCAAGTTATATTCAATGTTGATTCTATAAGAATAATATTATTATATTGCTTTTTTCATTTCTACAAGTTAACTTACGTTGAAGACCAATATGATTGTTGTTTGAATCAATAAAACGCACACTCATATAAGCAGGTGGATTAGATAAGTTTAAAATTCCTGCTGTCTTTTCTTGCATTTCAAGATAAATTTTACTTCGTTCATGTTCAATCAATCGTTCATAACGACGTAAATCAATATGTTGTTGTAATGTTGCATTTATTTTTCTTGCTTGAAAAACACATTCAGTGGTAAATGCATCTTGGTTAGTAAAAACATCTCCATTGGTATTCCAGTTGGCTATTGTACCAGAAATTCCTGTACAATTGGCATTACCATTATGAACTAAATTTATATTTTTCCCTTTTGATCCATCGGGTAGTATTGCTTGTGCAATAGATAGAGCTACATTTAATTGTCCTGGAGTAATGTTTGCACCAACAAGAATAGCTCCAGTAAAATCCACATTTTCTACATTAGCACTCTCAAAATTAGCACCACCCAAAAATGTGTTTCTAAATGATGCATTTGTAAGATCTGCCCATTGAAAAATGCAATTTGGCATATAAGCATATGAAAAATTTGTTTGTATAGCTTTTGCAGTATAAAAATTTGTTGATCGAGCTGTTACATTAACCATTTGAGCTTGATAAAGATTTGATGAATGAAAATTTGTCGACGAAATTTCAGATGTAGAAAAAATTGTTTTATAAGCCATAGTATCTTGAAAATTTGTTGATTCAAGATTTGCATCATGCATATATGCTTGAGATAAAATTGCATTTTGAAATGAAGCACGTTTAATCGTTGTATATGGAAAATTACTGTAAGATATATTAGTATCAACAAAATTAGTAAGAGATAAATGAGCGCCATTAAAATCTGTTCGAACAATTTGTGACCAATGAAATGAAGCACCCGTCATATTACACCAACTAAAATTAGCTTCATTTAAATAGATTTGTTCAAGTGAAGCATTGATTAAATTTGTCAATGGTAATGAAAGTTGAGTGTAATTGAGCCAACGACCGACTCGAAAAGAAAAAAAAAAGGAATGAAAATGAATTTTTTTAATGATGAAAAAGAAATATACTTTGATCGAATTTAACATCCATATCGTCTAAATCAAGGTCTTTTAAATTAGCTCCTTGTAAATCTAAAGTTGGACTATCTGTATAGTGAACATCGAGAAGTTTAAATTTGTATAAAAATCGAATCAATAATGATTTATGAAGAGGATCAAATCGACGTATTAATGACCGAACTTTCAATTCGAAATTCGCCATATTCAATGGTTGTTGTGCTGACATAGTTTCATGCATAAAATTTGTTAATAACTCGGCATTTTCTTTATTAAGATCTTCTTTTCTACGTTGTTCATTGAATTGCTTTTCTTCTGATAGTATTTGTAAACGTTTTTCTTCAATTTCAAACTGTTGTTTTGATTGTTGTATTGCAAATTTTAAATCTTGTTCACGTTGTTGTTGTTCTATTAATCGATCTTCTGAACGATGTTTTTCAGTTAAATTATATTGACGTTCCAGACGTTGATTTTCAATAGATAATTGTCGTTCATAATGTTGTTGTTCCAATAATCGATCTTCCAGACGATGTTTTTCAATTAAAACTTCTTGACGTCTTTGGCGTTCATTTTCGATATATAATATTTGTTCACGTTGTAATCGTGCTATATTTTCATTCGAATCACTTATTAATTTAGCAATTTTTTCATTTGATTCACGTAAATCAACTTGATTTGATGTACGTGGTAAGAATACAAGAACGGCAATAATAGCACCAAGCATCACTGCAATAATTAAACCGATCAAAATTTTCAAGACATCTAATAAACTAGATCTTGATAGAGTCGGTGCTGGAGGAGGAGAAGGAGGAGGAACATGAAGAGGAATAGGAGGGGGAAGAAAAACATTAGGCATAGTTAATGGGACTCGTGAAGGATCAAAGAAAGCTGGAGGAGCTGTTGCCATTTTTCGTTTTTAATTGCAAATGAGTGATTCTTTTCGAAGTTTTTTTATTCATGTCTTTCTATGTCAATATTTTTAATTAGTCTTATTCCATCATGATATTTTATTAGACTCAAATTTCTGTTAAAAAAAACAAATGTATTATGTTTCTCGTACTTAATAAATATATTCATTTGCCCGAATCTACCATTCTTGGTATAAAATTTGCGAAATTCGACTCCGTGCAACTCGCTGATGTCAAGATTTCATAAAGTTGAGTAGTGGTTATTTAAGGTAAGTCTGTAAATATTTAAAACTGTGTTGATAAATGAGATTGAAAAGAATTGTTTTTCGATTGAAGAAACAGTATTGAATGACGTCAAGAATCAATACATGAAAGGAATCATCCATAGAGGATGTTCAAGTAGAGGAGAAGAGGTCTCACATTTCTGGACATTCAGCACTCACTATGAATATTTTCCTTTTTTTTCACACGAATTTCGACGAAATTTTAAAAAGTAGTTTATTTTGAAGCGTATTTTTAAATTGAAAACGAACTGAATAAATAATCAGTTTGATATGAATATGGGGTTGAAATAATTGAATATTACATTACATGAACAGCTACTATCCATTTTAAAATATATGTTCCAGTGTATTTTGAATAACTTTTGATCGAAACATCAGGGATACCTGAGGTTTTTCACTAGTCAAGACAGAAGATTCGAGCTAATGAAAGCGTATCGAAAACAATATTCTGAAGTTATTCTTCTATCAATTTAAACTATAATTAAGATTAATCACTAGAAAGATTCGTCTTCGTTAATGTAAACAAGGCCGATATTCCTAACTTGTTCTCTTCAAGAGTTATAAGACTCTTCTTCCTGAGACCCTCGATTTTAGGTAATTGATCTGTAATAACTTGGGAAAGCAGCTAGGCAATGACAATTCATCATGCTAAATCAAATGGATATATTTGTTTTTAAGTTGGAATTGATCTGTCTTTGTTATTCCGATATTTCTGAAATTCCATAATTAGCTTCGATGTAACAAAGGAGTCAGTATGATAATTACTTCTATTTAGCGGATTTTCCTGGTGATCACAAATCAATTAGTTGAAATCGAGGATTTCAGAAAAAGTCTTACAACTTAGAAACGAAGCAAGCTAGAAATGTCGATCTTGCGCAGGTCGAAAGAGAAAAGTTTTTTTCTACTGATTAGCCATATTGAAAATCTGAATCCAAAAGCAAAATAGCTTCAGAGTATTATTTGCAAAACTCTATACCAAGAACTTACCTGAAAGTTTCTCATTGCTGCTCAATCAAATTTTGACATATCTTGATGGCTCCGATTGCTCTGTTTTGAATGGTGAAAATTATAGGTCTCTATGATGTTTTTATCAAAAGTTATTTAAAAAACAGTGGAACAATTTATGTTTTTAAATAGATAATAGTCATTTTCTCGAGCAATAATACGAACGCTGTTAGGTTTTCGAATGCCGTGTGTATTGAACTTCATTTTTTGCTTTTACTATTTTCTGCTCATTCAACTATAATGTATTTAAAAATAAAAATTTTTCCAATACATTATATTTGTTTGTTGTTTATGAAATATGTATTTTTAGTTGTATGTTTGATATATTTATATAATGAACTATTATTTAATCAAAAAAAAACGAAAGCGAGATCTTTGAACAAGGAGTCTCTTTCCAGGCAACATTTACCTGAATGTCTTTTATGAATGGCTTCAGATCTTGGTTGTCAACTTTTTATTAGTATATCCCGAAAACTTATTCAAGATATAAATATTTCTATTAACTTTCTTGAAAATGCAAAAACTATAAATTATTCCAAGAGAATTTATTTCAACTAAATCAAATAACAATTAGTCGAATTCTCTTAAGAAGTTTCTCTTAATATATGGATAGGTATCTAAACCAAATTTTATCCGTAGATGAAGTTAGAAATCCTTTAGTATACATCGATAGAATGAGACGATAACATGAGATATGATTTTACAGAACAATTCTGCATTTTCATCGACAACAAAACTCTGAAATTGATTCTGTGTTATTCTTATTTTCTAGAAAGTAACAATCTACTATTGTTTTGGTATTCACATTAGCGGAAGAAAAACATGTTTAGATATTATCATGCTTTAGCACGTACTAAGCAATCATATTTATTCAGCCTTTTGAATATTCTATTAATTTTTGTTTGTTAAGCAATAATCATATATTGTCTACATGGCCAATGCCAATCGTCACATCCTGTACTATGTTGATCTTTTGCTCGGTATAATTCTTTTTAGCAAAGAATACAACTAGAGAGAAGACTCAATCTATGAATTGATAATAATATTGATGATATGTGGCATACAGATATTTTTTTTGTTTTTCTTAAAATATTCATCAATTGATATTCTATTACTTATTTTGAATTAAATTTGTAATATGAAACATATGAAACACTCATTGAATTTTATAAATATAGTCTATAAGATCGTATTTTTCTTTTTCTTTTTAATATAATTTTTCGCTATTCGATTGTCACATGTAGCTATATAAAGAAATACGTGATCGATTTTAATTTGAATAATATCTCATGTAGAGATAATGATTTAATAATCATTACTAGTTTTATGTATACAACACTCTGTTCTTGTCTACAATAACATCAATGGTTGATCGAAAGCTAGTTACTAGTTGCTATTGTATACCATATATTTATGATGATAATTATCATACAATATAGTCTTTTATAGTAAGAGTTTATGTTATGTTTAATTCTTATGTATATACAATAGTTTGTCGATGGATTGAATGTTGTAGTAGACACAAGCATTGAATGTCCATTGAATGAACAATAGGACAGTCTTTTTTTATTCTCATCTTGATTTTGTTTAAGTGTCTGAAATCTTTAAAATGTCTATATGTTTTTTTTTCACCTTCGTTGAAGGAGACAATCAAGTATGTTTTCTATTGACTAACTTGTTAAAATAAAATTAAAGTGCTTCTGATAAAATGATCATGTCTGTTTAGTGTACATGTTCTACATGCAGTCTTAACGAATATTATTTCGTCGTTGTCGTCAGTTGATCTGTTTGGAGACAGATTAAGATGAAATGTTTTATTCGTCTATCTATATTTATTTAATAAACTTGTCTGTTGTATTGATTGTATAGCTTATTCGTTATTGTCTCGTATTTTTGGAGAGACGATATATTGCATCATTATCATCATCATCGTCCAACAACGACAAGATCAAACGAAGGTCAATAGTTATTAAGGTGGAGCTGAGATTATAATACATACTTAGTGATGATGTGTGAATAAGAACTAATTTGAGATTATTTTACATACTGAAAAAAAAACTTAATCGATGTCCTACTGTAGCTTGTCACTTTTCCCTTTCTATGGTAATGCTTAAATTGTTCTGAGTACTATAAGTGTTTACAAATTGCTGTCTCTGGACGCAGAATAGAAAGTAATGACAGAACGGTATTGAGAATAGCAAAAGAATGCTAGAGATTTTTTTTTCTATTCTTACTCTAATGGAGACTCTGATTTTATCGTGTGCATTTATGTGAGTATTGTTACGACATTCCTTACCGGTGAGTACTTTTTTCTTCATTTTTTTTAATGAAACGGGAAAATTATATCAATCAGAACAACTACAACGAAGAAAGAAATGGCTTTGTCGTTTACTATATAATCATTATCATTTACTCAATAGATTTACTCTATATTGTGTGCATAGACGACATACATATATAGATTAATAATGATTGTTTTTTTTTCTTTCTAGAAAATGCAATTAGCTGTAGCACTTTACAATAATGATGTTGACGACGAAGATGAACTTGAATTTCGTAAAGGTGATATATTAACAGTACTAATCGAAAATCCAAATGGTTTTGATGGTTGGTGGTTATGTAAACATAAAGATAAATATGGTTTATGTCCTGGAAATCGATTAAAACTTATACAAAATACAGTTTCTTCTCCAATAAAACTAAATGATTGTCTATATTCATATTCTCGTCTATCAACAGCATCTGTAAGTTTGAATGAAACTGAAAAGAAAAAATTAATTAATGCTCATAACTATATTAGATGTACGATGATCTATCAAATAACTATGATAATCCGGTAGCACTATCATCACCACAGAATTATGATAATAAGAATTCACGAGATTCGAGTAAGTTCTTTTAATTGCAATTTGATCGATTAGATTATGTCATTATTTATGACATGAGAGAAAAGCTTTTATTGTGTGAGGCAGATGCAGGCATATGAAAGTTTTCAGACAAATCATTTGAGTTTTAATGTATCCATCAACTCTCATTAAATTAAAGTAAAATTACTAAAATGTCAAACATTCATTTTTTTTATCTTCTAGAATTTATTTCCAATTCAAAACTTCTTGATTCATCACCTGAATCTTCTCTATGCTCATCCGGTATTTATTCTACTAATGATCTTCATTTATCTTCATCATCATCATCCGACTTTTACACGATTCCTCGTACTAATAATTCTGTATCGCCAAGTAAGTTTGACTGTAATATATTCTATCATAATTGTTATCATTATGTCGAGTAAAGAACATGTAGCAGATCTGTTTTATTGATAATAACCAGATAAACTATTGCATGATTTATCTTTAGTTGACCTTGATCAATTACAAAATTCTTTTCAAAAATTATCTGTACGTTCATTACTTATTGATAAATATTGTCAACTTATATTAAAAAAAAATATTGAATCAACTATTCATTCATTTATAACTGAATGTTATTTATTTCTTCATCAGTATGGTTGTTTATTAGATCGATATACATATAGATTAATTAAAGAAAATTATCTTTATAAATTAGAAAGTAAGAAAAAGCAAATAATTGAACTATCAACAAAAATAGTTCAATCAATAAAATCAATTATTGATTTACAATTAAAACAAAAATCTTATAATAATTCATCTATATCAAATGATATATTTAAAAAACTTCATCTCGAACCAATTGCAGAAATTCCAAATGAAAAAATAAATACATTCTTCTCAACAGCACAAATTTATAGAAATTTTCATAATAAAAATCACCAAACACAGATGACAACTTCGAAAACATGTTTTTCAGATTTTTTATCATCGTCTTCATGTAGTAAATCAAATGATTGTGAATATATCAATGATGTTTATTCAAAAAATCCATTAATTAAATGTTATTATAGACATATTAATGAACAAATTAATTCAATAATTAAACATTTTTCGTATTTATTAGAAAATCGACATAAAATTTCATTGTTAATAACTGAAGGTAAAGCACTTACTGTTGCAGGACATAAACTTGTGTTTGTACTTGAAACACTTCATGAACATGTACAACAAATAGACACATCATTAATTCACCTCACAAGACAATTATGTGAAGCTTTAAAAAATTTAATTCAATTACTTAAAGAACTTAGTCAGAAGAATTGTACAAATATTAAAAAATTAATCATTCAATTTCAACAGAACATCAAAATGATTATGAATATTGTACAACGAATAAAACAACACTGTAGTTTAGTTTAATACTAGTTTTTCGTTTCTTTTCTTTTTTGCTTTTATTTTTATCTCTAGTCAGATATATGAATAAATTGCAACAATAGCGAAAAATAAGACTTCTAATATAGCATACTATGATTAAGATAGATAAATACAAGCCTGAGTTACCAATAGACCAAGCCACACACTTGAACTGACAGCGCCTGTAGGAAGCCGCGGGTGCGTGTTTTTATGAATTTTAACTCAACAATCAATTAAAATTTGAATGCCGGCTCGGATCTGCAAGGATCCGCAACTTCCCAATGGATTGTCCTGAAGGCACATACTAAACTAAAAGAATTAGTTCAATTGATTCAATTACTGATTTCATGTTCGTTTCTTCTGAAAAAAAATTAATCTGCATTTATAACTAGTTTCCTTTCTTTTTCATTTATTGTTCTGCCTGTTGTAGTGCACTTTCTAGTTATTCATATCATTTCTTTTGAAACTCTTCGAAATACAACTCAGCCTACAGCGACACCTAATATTCGAAATCAATAGTGACATTGTTTTCAAGTAGAGTTCTATCAATATAAAAATGTCAGCATAGATTGACAGCTTTTATATAAGCCTATTACTTGAACGAATTTATTTTGGTTTGACTAGAATTGTATTATTGATATATTAATGTTTAACAGTAAATTTTGATATAGACGATAGCTTGTTTGTGTTTACTTGTATGATTTCATGGCTACATTGGATTCTACGAAGCTTGAACTGTTCAGTGTCATAATCAGCCTTGTATTCTTTGGAATTTCACGCATAGAGTCATAAGAAATTCTCTCAAATCCTTAAATTTTAGTTTTTCACATTCAGAAACATTTTGGGAAAATCGTTTTGAACCCACTCAAATTATAGAGTACATCAAATTGTAAACAAGATCATCCTCTTTTCTGTTTTCAAAAAATGAATTTTAAATAACCTAACATCATCGTGAAGATTTTCACATTGAAAATGTTACTATATTCTGCTGTATGAGTTAGAACGACTATATTTCTTGTAAAAGCAAAACAATTTGAAACAGAAAAAGTTACTGTTTTCTAACGAATTCGATACGCTCTATGATTAGGACAGATAAAAAAGTTTATTTGACGAAAATTTTGTTTGTCGGGAGCACCAGTTCTCTAGAAAATCAGCATATGAAAGCCTGATGGAATTTCTCATGATCATATTCGAAATCGATATGATTGATAACCTATCTTTCAATAGATTGTGTCGAGAAAGTGATTGATCAGTTGAAAACGTGTGTTCATAAGAGAGACTAGTCTTCTCTTTTGTACAACGAAAGAAATAAAAAGATATATATATGTAGACGAACGAATTGATCATGCTAGTGTATGAAAGTAGTACGATTGATATTCAAGTGCGCTTGTAATTACATCTGATCTAAAAATAAAGTTTTGGATGACAAATTTCTTAACTTTGATGTTATATCGTTCCTTTATAAAGAATCATCAGAAACCATTCACAAAAGGTATGCAGACAAGCGATAATCAGTTAACTTCAGATATTTTCAAAAGAGGGTAAATTAGTTTTCAATCGCGTTTCGAATAGAACAACTTCTCATAATTCTATGAATCACCATCTATGAATAGATCATATTTATCAATCTTTTCATAGAAAAGAAAAGTATATTGAAATAAATGGACTCTTTCTTGATAAAAATGTTCTTGAAAACTGAACGCCCGAAAAGGTCAAGGAGAAGCCAAAAAATGCGATTTTTACCTGGACATCCTTTATGGATGGTTCTTAACTATAATGATATGGTGGATGCAAAAGGTCTCGATACTAGGTAACAAGTACCTAAACTTCAATCTTATTTTCTCATAGTTTGATCACAAACAAAACATGTCAAACTCTAATTTTTACGTGATAGTGTGCCTTCTTGCAACTGCTGTGTATAGTGAACTTAGTATATTGCTTCGCACCCTCAATGTAAAGATCTCTTTTTAAAAGCATACAAGGGTGTCGTATATCAGTGTTACCATACATTGGATATGATAACGTTATGGTACAAGGATTTTTCTGATTTTTCATTGTTCCTTTACGTTAAAGGAAAAAAGATATTGTTTACTTAGAAGCTCTTCTTGATTATTTTTCCGAGCACATATGAAGTCAGAAAACTCAAAACTAGTAAGTTGCTCTGTAAAATTTCACAATTGAACCAATGAAGTACAAAAAGGTTTTGATCAGGCTCTTGCTGTCTTTGAAAGGTAAAAAAAAGTCTACAATAAAAAAATAATACAATGACAAGTTGAAACAATAAGAAGCAGCACGGCGACAATGAGATGAATCAAAATCGATAGTAGCAAGATGAGCAACGTTCATATAAAAATATACATGTTGACATTATTTGTTTGTAGTTATTCAAGTTTCTTCTAAATCGACTTCGAACTTGATCAGATTCATCTATAAAACATGACTTCAATCTACTTATTTGATCTAAGACATTGTTTTTTAGAATTTGTTCATCAATTGAATTTCAATCACCAATATATTGATAGTGAATGAGGTGCTTTTACTAGTGCTGCTAATGTCGTACAATCACAAGAACGACAAGGAACGTTTTGGAACAGTCAGTAGTTCTGCTATTCGATTGACTGATAATGATCAAATATGTGAGAATATTGTTAATATTGATTGGCAATATGTATTTGGAACGCTGATGTATTCGACGGAAAGCCATCTAATTTGACTGAAATTAGAGAAAGGTAGCGGCAACATTTCAATGTATATTAGGAGTAAGAGCAAACTATTGATAGGTCGACAATTTGATGATAAATATACAATGCATGAATGGTTCATGCATGGATATGTAATGAAGAATGATCAAGGTTCTCATTCAGGATGGTATCAAGTTAATGTAAACGATATTTTAGAATTGACAATTTATAGTGAAGAATAACTGCCCAGTATTCTTAACGAGACAAATCGAACACAATATGCAAATATCCTAGCATGGGCAACAGTTATTCGATTTACTAACATCTAATGTGTATAGAAAAATGGATCACAAAACTACTGAAAAACAAATTAAGTTTGTAAATTCTTTTTGTCCATGAAATGCAAATTTCTATGTATCATCATCCAATGAATTATATTAGCTAAAGAACACTGTTGTGAGGATGCATATCAAATGTCTATTATGAATAGCTGAAATGAATTTTTACATATTCAATTAAAGAGATACGACTCGTAGTATATGTTTGCATGGAATGAAGAAAATCATTTTAATATAAAAAGTATATCGAACTGAAGCGTAATCTTTGAGAGTTGGTTGGGTTAAGAAGGATGTAAGGACGAAAGCAGGTGACACACCTATAGCAACACCAACACCTCACTCGCATACTTCACACCTGCACATACCTCACACGCACACTTCACACCTGCACACACCTCACACCCACACCCTGACATTGCAATATTGTAGCAGATATCACACACAAAAGACTTTTGTAAGAAAAGTCACTTTGGTTGCTCAACAATGTATGTATCTTCGGAAGTATGAAATCAATAGTAAGCTTGTCGAAAAGCCTTCAGTGATCAATATATCAGATATCTTCATTTTACTGAACCATGCCTAAGACTGACTTTTGCTTGGTACTGTTATCCATATCCACCAAATATCCTTCGATAGGGTTTTCAAGTAATGCCTATGTGAAATACAGCAGAAAGACTTCTCGAAAGCTTGAATGTTGAGCGACAATTATTCTTGAATCCTGTTTTATTCATATCTCTAGAAAGGAAATCATAGACAAGATAAAAGTTGCACAATCAACTAGTCTGATTAAAATCTTTGTTCATGCTAAGTTTGAAGTGGAAATTCCAATGTAAGACGGCTCGGGAAACCAAATCATAGAAGTGTTGTCTATTACTCACTAGTACTCATCAAATGAATATCATCTCGATGAAAAAAGGTTTGAAAATCTGTGAGAATATTATTTTGTCAGCATAATTGAAAGTTGTAGTTATTAAAAAAAATAAGTATAAAATTTTATTTTGGATTAAAAAGAACGCATTATTAATAAAAATACAAGTGTTGTAATACAAAACATCGTTGAAATCGTTGATATAGATGACATAGTTGACTCAGATGATGTAGTCAACCCATTTGGCATAGTACTAAAAGTAGCAGTATTTTCTCCGGCCATCACTATGCCATCGTTACCAACAATCGATTGAATCCAATCGATATACATATTAACTCGGGTGTAAACACCAGCATGAATACTTAGTCCACATCCTTTACCGAAAGATGTTATGCCTGCCAACATCCATTGTTCGTAAATATCTGAGTAATACATCAATGGACCACCTGAATCACCTTGACATGTATCTATAGACAAGAAATAGGATTAGGTGTTTTTATCTCGTAATGATAACACTTAATTACCTTTGCCTCCACCATTGACAGCTGCACAAAATTGTGTGGTTTTATTTGTAATAGAATTGCTACATTTGGATTCTTGATTACCAACAGCTTCGACTGTCACTTGTCTAAGTTTGTCTGATATGAATCCATTTGCCATTGTAGTTCCCCAACCGATACCTACAAGTTTTGATTTCATCAATGGAAAATCAGTTGCTCCCATGCCATATGAAGATGGTAAACAAAGTTTAGCAATATTATTATCTCCAAAAAAGATTGCTTGGGATAATTCAAGAATAGCAATATCGTTTTTGAATGTATTTGGAATCCATTGTGGATGTACATAAATTTTTGATACGACTATTCTTTGTCCAATATTATCAAGGAGATTGTCTCTACCAACAACAACTGTTAATTGGTCTATTGAAAGATAAATATCATCAACACAATGTGCTGCTGTAAGCACATACTTTGGGGAGAGGATCGACCCACCACAGAAGTGTCTGCTGGGTCGCTTCTGCAATGAAACAGCCCAGCCCCAACTATGACTAGGAGCTACTTCACCACCGACAATTCTGGCATTAATAGAGACTGAATTTTTTGAACAACCACATGGAGCTGCCTTGTTACATGGATATACAGTCGCTTGTACTAAATATTGATTAAGAAAGACACATAAGACAAATAATATCAGTTGAAGTCGGCGAATCATGCTGTTGTGTTGTTACAGTCTCCTCGTATGACATGATGAAGGTGTTTGTCGTACTTATATACATTTGATGATTAGAGTTCTTATCAGAATCTTAACATCATGAAAGAAAACATATTCTATCATACTTTTTGTTTTGCTTATTCACTATGTTGCATGACGTCTACTCTTATTTCGTGGGTGTTCGACAGCAAATATTTGCTAGTGATATCAAAGTAATGAAAAAAGTCCTTAGTCGACGAAAGAAAATGTGATAAAAAAATTAAAATGTTTTGAAAAAAAGTCTCTGCAATGTCTGAAATTTTCAAGATGTACATCCTTTTGATGAATAGCATGTACCATAGACGTGCACTGCTCGTATTATGGTACAACGCGAGGTAGAGGCAGCTGTCCTGCTTGAGAAATGTTCAGTGCGGTGCAGGCACATTCGTGTGATCGTGTTTTGACCATATTTTCAATAAAAATTTCTTGAACTTGGAACCGACAAAAATTCAAATCAATTTTAATGCTGTGAAGCAACAATGTATGCAAAACTAATTTAAATAAATGAGTAAATGCCAATTGTAACAATGTTTGTAGCTGATACGCGCACTCTGCAACTCGAACATGTCGTAAATGTTCGTAACTCTTTTTCTACCAATGTATATGATTCGTTTAATATGGTTATACTGTAAAAAGAACTCGATTGCATCATCAAATACATCTTCAATTCGTAAATTCATTTTTCCTCATGATGATATATATATAGGAGATATTGTACAGAAGACAGCAAACAACGTTTTACTCTTTGTTTCATTGGTTCAACTACCATACTTGTCTGCTATATATGTTGATTTTATCGCCCAGTAAGCTACTATGTACTCTATGATTTCTCGCGCCGAATTGCGACATATACCGCTGAGTTTTGTCTAGAACTAGAATTCAATTAGTTTATATTTTCCTATGTCCATTCTTTCTTATTCTACTAGATGAAAAATAAGACTTTCCTATTGATCGACACCTACGAAAAGATCCTTTTGGTTAATGGTTTTTCATTGTCATACAATTTTAGTGTTACTATACAGGTTTCAGGCTATGCCTTTATAAATTTTTTTCTTTAGCTACTATTTTTATTACACATACTAGATAAATTGTTCACTCCGACTGTTAGTTTCATTAGCATAATTTATCATTATAGTTGAATAGAATTTCGGCTCTATCCCTTACTACTGCCGTAAATCTCCTTGTTTGATCTCTACTTGCTGTTGGAATGTATTTATCGACGAGTTGTACCGATAAAAATATCTTAGGCTATAATTTGCCTGAATTTATGCGTGTAAATAATTAACACAAAACCATTATCATAACAATGAACATAAGTCGCGTTGAATTGGGAAAATCAATATACTTTTTTGGTTCTATTTATGTTATATTGCTGTTCATACGTAAATGTTAATAAATGAACTATTATTTATTCACAAACATTGGTGGAATAAGCTAGTGAAAAACATCGAGAAAAAGCAAAAATATTCTCCAGTTAATTCAGAACAGCTGCCTCGTGCCTGGTTTTTCAGGCATGGTGCACATCTCTAGTGCATACAACACGCACATTTTGAAAGGTTCATATTTCGACAAGAACTCGTTCAACACTTCCGAATTTTTTTAAAAGTGGGCTAGTATAGTTAAGTTCGCTGTATGTACAAGGTTTCAAATCAAAATTCGAAAATACGAGTTGTTTCAAAAATTTAGGTTCTCTAGAAAATACATGTAGTCCATAGCCAATAACTTAATTAATACTCAATAGGAACTCAAATACTTTTAGGTTTTTTATTAGAACGCTATGTAGTATCTAAAGGCTAAAAGCGTTGAAATCAAAAGAATGCATCTAAGGAGGTTGCCTCATTAGCTTTTAGGTATACTATAGCAAAACCTATATCGAAAAACAGTTTTCCAATGGACATTAGCAACAATGTACTGAAAAACAGGGCTTTTTTGTGTTCCTACTGTCATTCGAAAAGCCGATGCATGTGACTATTTTTTGAATAACTCGAGGACAAAAAGTAATAGAGATCTGTAATTTTCACCATGGAAAAGGGTGATATCAGGAATACCTATCATGTGCAAGACTCACTGAGTTCAAAGATTTTTTTATGGATGCTTTTAAACTGACATTTTTTCGCTGTCTATTTTCATCAAATTTTACGATAATTTCAACTCAAATTCTACACAAATGTAGCCGAAACCACTCTATATTCCTAGAAATATCAAAACCTATTATTCGAAATGGATTATGAGATAATTTTCAAGTAGACTTCCATCAATATAAAAATGTTAGTCTACCCTGACAGCATTGTTAAAATCGTATTACTTGGTTGAATTTATTTTAATCCCACTAAAGCTGTATTATTGATACGTCAGTGTCTAGCTGTAAATTTTAATATAGACTATAGTTTGGTTTTGTTCACTTGTATGATTTCATGATTACATTGGATTCTACGATGCTTGAGCTGTTCAGTGTCATAATCAATCTTGTATCCTTTATTTTTATGTAACATAGTATGATCTTGATATTTTTCACATTGAAGCATAACTATATTCTGCTGTATGAATTAAAACGGCTATATTTTCTGCAAAAAAAATAATTTCAACCAGATATATTTATAAAATTAGTTCATTGAGCAATCACAATCAAGACACTGCAATATTTATTGCATCAAAGGTGAAGAGTTTAACAATATAAATATGAACAAGAGTGTGAGTATTGTTTGGATGACCATTGATTGAACCCACACCCCAAACCGACACCCTTTTTTGTTATTTCCGGATCATCGTTGAATAGATACTGAATCGAAGCCATCCGAAGTCCTTTAGCGAGGATGAAATCGAAGTCATGATTGCTAGATGAAACACACCTTCACCCCCACTCCCACACATTCACATACCCTAGGATGCTAATTAAATTATCACCAATCTATCACCTAACACAGTATCAAAAACATGCACTAGTCAATTATCTAGATATTTTAATACTTTATTGAATCAAGTTCAAATAAGTCTAGTATAGATTTTCAAATACAACTATTCTTCAGTGTTAATACCCGCTTCTGTTAAATCGAAAAATACTTTAAAAAACATGTTTACTTTTTCTAAAACAAAAATAAACTTCATCGTGAGCAAAGAAATAGTTACGTAGTGCATTAAACTTACTCATGAATTTCAGCTGTATTTTACGAAAAACCAATAGATAGTAGAATACCAAACTGAGAAGTAAAATAATTGTCGCAATAAGATAGCCAATATGTGGACGAGATATAACGGGTGCAATAACAAGATAGATACTAATAAGTATATTAAAAATAATTACAGGTATCGGAACCTATAAAAGCATAAGATTTTTTTGATTACAGTCTATAAAATGAAAAACAAACATACTTTAATAGCTCGATATGCATTAGGTTTCGTAAATTTACAGCAGATTGTAGCAACAAATGTTAGTCCATTGAAGACCCAAACAACAAAGCTGGAAAAATCAATCAAATCCTCAATATCACTTGGAATACAATAGATGATGGTAAGAATAGTCTTAAGAAATAAAGGCAATAAATATATATTTGTCAATCAATAAATAGATTGATTTGCAACGAACCTGAAGTATAATACCGGGCAATGGTGTTAATCTTTGTTTTTGAATATAAGAAAACACTTCAGGCAAATATCCATGACGTGCGCCAACCATAGCATATCGAGCAGATCTAAAAGTCGATACATTGACGCTACCCAATGCGCTCAATGATATCAAAAATGGCAAAACACGGACAGCTGGACCCAATACAGCAACTCCCCATGTCTGAAAATATTCGTGAAAAGAAATATCGAATGAATATTTATTAAAGGTTGATATTTCGAGTGAATACATCGTGCGTACATGCGACCATATTCGAAAGACAAAATCTAATGAACGAGCCAACATACCCAAATGTGATTCTCAGTTTCGAACGGAATACATTTCATGCGAAATTTTAAATAACGAAGCTAGCTTATATTTTCGCTTAAAAAGTAACTTGTGAGCGCACATGCTAAGTCACTTAAAAGTACTTGAAGCATAGTTAGGCGCTTATCAACGATTGAAATATTTGCGAAAGCTCTTCTAGATAGCTTGTAGTAGCTGTTAAGCACTTAAATATGGCAAAAGTTAAGCGCTTTGTAACCGTTTAGGGTTCAGGTAGCTGAAAAGCGCTTGAATTTTTGCAACATTTCAGTGCTTATCAATTGCGGTTCAATAGATAAGTTGAAGTTCTTGTAAGGGCTTAAACTTTAACTTTTTCAGCTATCACACATCACTTGTAAGAGCTGTCACTAATATTTTAATCACTGATAACCGCTTTTAAAGCGAAAATATAAGCTATTATAAGCCGCTTATACTTAGCTTACAATGGAGAAGATTTTCATATGGGTTACCAGTGTGTGCAGTTCGACAAACTGCTTATTGTGGCATGTTACGTTTTCCTCCAGAGGACTTCAAGTGAGAAAAACTGATCAATTTCATTGAAGAATTTCTTTACTTTCGATAAGTTTCGAGATAGCTGTTAGAAGTTCGGGATTTACAAGGTACATAAAGTTTAAATGGTCATATTAAAATACAGACTATGGCGCATGCGACAGTCTATTTTTATTATTTTTTCTTTCAGAACCGCTAAAATACCTCCAAGTGTAACAATTCTGAAATTAATATTCTTAACGATGGTGGAATTAAGTTTCACAAGAAAATAGTGTTCTTCTATTTTTTTAATTGTATACAAATAGACTATCACATGCGTCATTGTCTGTATTTTAACATAATCATTTAGAATTTATGTAATTTTGAAGTTCCAAATTTCTAACAGCTGCCTCAAAACTTATCCCAAGTAAAATAAGTGGGGTATCTTTGGACAGTATTCTTATACTTTACAGAATTGATTGAAATTGGTCTAGAACATTGTACATGTGTCTTCTCTGTATCTAGTACTTTCAAATGCCATATGAAAAATTCTAAACAATGCATTTGGAATGTCACTGAAGTCGAAACACAATAAATTTTCTTCATCATTATTTCTGTTTCTGGTTGATGTTTTGATAAATACTAATACTTGGACAAAGGTGATCACCTCCGGCTTGATTGATTTTTTTAAGTAGAACAAAGTAGACTCTATTAATCGACGTATTCTCTAATTCTCTCGGCCCAAAAATTTCAGCTGAAAAGTGAAAAGTTTAGAGCAAATTTATTAGTTCTAGTGTTAGAATTAGCTATTTCAAGGGATTGTACTTCAACAGTTGGCTTTTATGAAAGTGCGAAATTATTTTGATCATTAATTTAAATGTGAGTCAAGTCGAAAAGTATCTATAGGCTACTTCTTGAAACAATCGATCATAGGTTACGCCAATGGTATCTTCAGTATTAAGAATGACTTAAAGCTCGGTTAATTGGGAAAATTCATGATTGAACCATACATTGATATATTATTTATTTAGATAACTAGACCAATATTTACCACAGCAACAGCATCCGAGCTGAGCAATTCAGCTTTGCTCATCACTGTAAAATACGATATATTGATTAGAAGATATATAATAATCACTGATGAAAGAGCCACTACGATAGCCAACCATAGATTTCTATCAAACATAACGAATAATCAGTAAATTGAGCCTAGTGTATTTCTTTCACATACCATTACCTTTTGGGATTTTTAAGTTCTTCCGTTACTGAATTCAAACTAGACCATCCTTGATAGGCCCAAAGACCAGAGTAGAAAGCAAGTGCAACACCCAACGGATTGTTTGTTGTACCTAATTATTCCAGCAGGGAAAGGCGAAAACAATTATCAATCTTTTCAACAAAAAATGCTAACTACCATGAAAGCCACTTTTTAAATTTTCAGTATAACCTAATTCAAATAAAAAAATTCTACTTAGAGTTTATTTTTCTCATTTCGATTGGTGTTCGCAAACCTTGTCCGATACGTACGAGGCCACCAATTATAATTACTGAAACTGTCACAATTTTGAGTGCAACAAAGACAATATTTAGTCGATTGGCTGTCCGTACACTGAATCCATTTATAACAGCGAGGATACCTAAATCATCATACACTGGCAAGTTGCAACCAGAAGAGAACAAGATACGGAAGTGAATTATTTAACAAACCGAGTACAAAGACTGCCAACATTTTGACCAGTTCGATTGGTGGACCGCAACCTAGATTGATTAAATGGAAAGAGAGCCACAAGTCAATAGTTTTATACTTACTGTCCATAACTCCTGATAAAAAATATGTCGAAAATGTCAGAGAAAGAATAGCAAGACTCGATGGTCGAAGTATGAATATATTTGCCCAATTGAAAACGAAGGCCAACACATCACCGGTGCGGGGATGAACTGATCCGATTCCTAGATTATGGAACAATTAGTAGCAAACTTTCGATGAAAAAACATCATATAAATTAATGATCCGACGCCAACTGTTAGAAGAAATAATGCGCTATTTGTTTGTTGAAGTGTGTCTTTCTTCATTTTAATCTATCTTTTTTTTTCAACTGGAAGCGTCATCTTGAAACATTGTTTAAATATATTAATCAGACGGTCCGCTTTTTTCTGCAATCAACGCTTTTTAACGTGTTGCTCGAAGACGTTTCCATTTATCGATTTCTCTTTCATGAGTTTCAATACGCTTTTTTTAGTGTTGTTTTACTAGAAACAAGGACTTTTTTTTTCTTACAGATGCATTAAAGCAAAGTAATTGGAGTGCATTTTTTTCAGAAAAAAACAGTTAATTCACATACAAGTGAAATGCATATTTAGATTCGTATATTGAAAGAAAACATTTTCTTTAGAAAACTAAACTTATTTTTAGACAAACATTTCATGATATGGCACAAAAAACTATATCGCTTCAATAGGATTCTTCTCTAAATAAACATGACTACAGCGCAACTGAATGTATTTCGATATAAGCAAAGAACAAAATAGTTGTGTAACAAATGTGATATGTGCAAAGAATTAAATTAGTTTACTTTGATTAAAAGAATCACCTGAATAAACTAGATAACTCATGGACATTATGAAACTGCGGTATTAACTTTGTCAAAATTTTTGCATGTAATAATTAATTGTGTAAAGCTTCTGAAATTCCTAGTCAAAACTTATAGTTCTCCACATTTGACGCATTACATTTCTTTTATTTTTGAATCTGTTTACAGGAAATATTTTTGAATAGAAAAAGATAGTACGTGTTTGTTTATTATAATCATAATAATTTACTTAAATTTTTATCCAGCTTCTATATTTCATTGCTAATTTTTTGCCTTGAATGTCAAAGAGTATTAACTGATTCTCTTTGTATAAAAGCTCGACTGTTTTTTATAATATTTATTCAAAGAATAAAACACTTCAGCATTCATATTTTTCGCTTTCTTCAAACTCAATTTACGAGTAATACTGATAACAACCATCTTTCATTTTTATTGACCTTTCTTTATTTCTTGTATGTTTCTTACTATATTTTGTACCTTCAAGAAACAAATTGATGTATTAAAACATAATTCATTGATTTCTCTTTTCTTTTTATGTCTCTTATCTCTTTTTTGATGCACTAATGCTGTTATAATCAGTTTAAGCCGCACTTAGGTCATATTGACATTTTCATATGATAAATATTGTATCAAAACCAGTGATTTTTTTCTACTTCAATTTCAATAAGTTCCATTTAGTGAATCTCAGTCGTCCTTTCACAATCTTTAAAGTTGCCTATCTAATAGATAGCGCTTATCAAGACAATATTCCTTATAGATATAGTTCTCAGACCTATTGAGTTACCCTCAAGACAAAATCAGATCGGTTAAGAGAAAAAAAGAAAAAGAAAAGGACGTGTATTCAGATGATCATTTTTTCTTCACGATTTTGTTCACTTTTATCAGTCTGATAGCTGTTAAGATTCTAGATTTCAATTTTTTTTTCTCAAATATCTTCTAAATCGCATCAATTATATACACTTGTGGATATCATATTTATATTTCGATTGAGTTGAATTTTATATATGAAAAAAGTATTTTATTGCCAGATGAGTCATAGAACGGTTCTCCCATAGATCCGACTATCTTGATATGAAAACATACTGTTTTTTGTTCAAAATATATCAGTATGGGCAAAAATATTTGCTCTGTTTGTTCCAAGTCAACTTAGTTCGAAAAACAATCAAGAAGTAATGAAAATAGCTGGCAAAAAGTGACCCATTGTTTTGTGCGACTTCTAGATATCAAAAAATGGTCGGGTATCAAATATGTCATCAAAATCGCGGAATACTACAAGAAAAAAACACTTTTCTAGCAGATATTTCAAAATTTACTTGAAATTTTCATTAATTCTAGATTATTTTTCGAGTTAAGTTGATTTGGAACAAACAGAGCAAATATTTTTACCCATTCTGATATAGTCTGAACAGAAAAAAAGTATGTTTTCATATAAAGATAGTCGGATCTATGGGAGAAGAGTCCTATGACTCATCTGGCAATAAAATGTTTTTTTCATACATCGTAAAATGGCAGTTGAGTTGTATCACAGATGAAAGATGTTTTATATTCACTTGCCCATATTAATTATTTCATCATATTTAGAACATCGTATTAGAAGTTTCTTAGGAGATTCTATACTGTAAATTCTGAACATCTAACAAAAGATATAACATTGTGAATATTGAAAAAGTCGAAGTATGATGGACATACTAAAATGATTTTATACGATGTAAAAAATGATCAAATGTAAATAATGAAACTAGCATTTTTATATCGCCAATACTTCGACTTTTACAATGTTGAATACGGTATAAGTTTCCTTGAAAGTTTAGAATTTTTAGTCAAGAAATTACTGAGACGTATATATTAGGATGGTATAGATATGATAAAATGATGAATATAAATGAGCGAACAGAACAAAGATGTCTTAGAAAAACAATACGTTTTTAAACCGATAAAACATATACTAGGAAACATGTTATGAAAGGATATTTTTAGCTTTTAATAAAAGGAAGACGCATTCAAACACAATTTGTTTTACAATTTTGTTTTTCATACGTTCAAACTATAATGCTTGTGATAATATCAAAGTTACCTTCTTTCATATAAACCAGTTCGGATCCACTCATCGGAATAACTGTGCCAATTTCGGCAAAGCATAATGCGCCTAGAATATAAATGTGTACTCGATGATAGAGTCACTTTTTTAGCTTAAAATCTTACTTAGTAGAGACACAATTCCACATAATGCCCATATCACCAAACATAAACCAACTGATTGTGTCTGTCTTAGAACACCTTTTGGGGAAATGAATATGCCTGTGCCTAATATAGAAAAATATTTCAAATCACATTAGGTTGAAATCAACAAAATTTAGTCACCGATGATCGTGCCAAGTATGAATGCAACTCCAGAAAACAGACCAAGATGTCGCTTCAGAGTTTTCTTTTCATCAGCTTGTACTAAATTTATGCCGGAATCAGTTTTTTCGATCGTTTCACCGATTGAATGTCGAGATCCAGTCAACGATGAATGAGTTCGTCGTTCTTGAACAGATGTTGAATCTGCATAACCATTAGGAGAAGTAGGTTCGACACGATTCGTCTAAATTTGATAGAAGCAAAAAAAGAATTGTGATACTTCCTTGAATCATGTATACTACAATATCTTTATTATCACCTTAACAAGCATCGCGTGGCTGTTGCTGCCTATTTCGATGTGCGTTTTTTCTTAAATATGACTAGAATTCAGATTCTTTTCTTTTATAACTACCTTTCTTATCTCAAATAACAATATGTAACTTATAAATATCAAGGTAAGTAATACCGAAAAGAAAAAATATTATCATTCTTTGTCATATATTCACGAATCAATTTAAGATACTTCACCTAGTGTGGATCATTCGAAATATTATGGCTTGGGTATGGATGAACTGAAGACTCACATTCACACTCATGTACATGTGATTCAATCAGACCATCATGTCATTGTGATTAAAACAGAAAAAATACCGTTATAATAAAAGTCTTGTTGGTTGAAGGATTAACAATCACAAAAGCTTCAAAGTAAATAGCAAGCATGTTGAGAAGCAATACCTTATAAAAAATAAATCTGATTATAAACAATCAAGTTGAGAAGCTCGGTCGTACACGTTATAATACAGCCGAAGACAGCCCATATATTGCCCTTTTGGTGTTGATCTTACTAAGACCATATATCACTGAGCAGAAACGGCTGAACACTTACTTTTGCAACTGTTTACTACCCTATATAGTCGTCTAGGACACAATAAAACACGATTATAATACAAGGGATATTAAAGCACCTAAAACGACCATTCACGACTTTAAACGGTATCATACAGTTGTAAACAATCATTTACGACGGTTGTGATTGTCATCCAGAGTGGTACTCGCCATACATTTATATATGACTGATTACTGTTTTAAATTTAATATTCTAAGTTCTACTTATAAACGTCTGTTTGAATCCAAAAAACAAATATCATCGTCGTCCTATTAATCGAAAATTTTACTTTCCTGTCAAGATATATCTATGAAGTGTAAGTAGGAGGTGCATATTTGGTTGTTCAATGGCGATAGTTAGCTAAACAATGTATCTTTATGGGTTCATTTTATCTCTCTCAAATATTCACTTGATCATATCGATTAATGCTGGGGAAGAAGATTCATATAGTCATCAACAAGCTATTACACTTCTTGACAGGTACAAACGTGTGGAGCATTTATTACCGTGAAATGCTCATCGACTAACATTCAATACAAATTTACAGCTTGAATGGTTATTTGATAATAATGAAAATCTCGGTCAATTCTTACGTTATCGTATCCAAGAGTCTTCTGAAAATGAACTTATCTACACCATTGATCTTAAATCGAATAAACAAATATCAAAAAGAAGTGTTAACAGTACAAAATTCAGTTCTTCTCTACCACTTTTTGTCAAATGAAACCATGTCACCTGATGGTAGTTGGGCAATCTTTATTGATCAGTATAATTTGTATGTACATTCATTAAACGAGCATCCCACAAGGCAATATCCATTAACGTTTGATGGCATGAAACATTATAGTTACGGTGTAGTACCTAAAAGTCCTGAACAGTTTATGATTTCCCAGCATTTCAGCTTACCAGTAAAGCCAATTGGTATATGGTCACCAAATTCAAAATTATTTTTAACACATTTATTAGATGAACGTGATTGTCAAGAAATACATTTATTACAAACTGTACCTGAACATCAAATCAAGAATAATAATTCTGTAGAAGCACATCCTACAAAAGTTTTTTCATATCGATATCCAATGGTCGACGCTAATATACGTTTTGTTGAACTTTATATCTTTAATACTGAAAGTCGTCGTAAAACTCGAATTCAATTGCTAAATCAACTTTCATCTTTACCAGAAATCATTTTCAATTCAAATAATATACAATGGCATCAAAATAGTCAACAAATGTGTATTGTTGATAAATAAATTGACTCAAAACTAGCACATTTTTATGTTATTGATGCTTATATTGGCGAGGCAAAACTTTTGATTGAAGAAACTTCTTCGACTCAGGTGCAAGTTCCATCATCATCAATACCAGCATCAGCAGTTAAAATTCTAAATTCAACAAATGAAATTATATGGTATTCAGGTCGAGATGGTTATGGACATTTGTATATATACGATAGTCAAGTTCCAAATAATCTAAAATGACAATTAGTATCAGGAAAATATATTGTTCGAGATTTAGTTCATATGGATGAAAATAAACGATTGATATGTTTTACTACATCTGGTATTGAATATTCATCAGGCTCATCAATGAATTCAAGTATGTACTGGCCATATATGTCGAATCGAAATTTTGAAGTAGGATGCAAACACGATGATTTAGTGGATGGAAATAACTTCGAGTTAGAGACAAAAGATAAAACCTATTTTGAAAATACACAATGGTCTTATTTAAATAGTTCAAATCAACAATGTGATCCATATTATCGTTATTTATTTGTTGTCAACACGGATGACTTGCATAATATTAAATTATTAACACCAGAATACAGCGATCATGAAATTAATTTTTCACCAAATGGTCTCTACTTTGGGTGTGGGTTGGGTGGGGATGGGGTGTGGGTGTGGGTGTAGGTGGGATATGGGTGGGGTGTAGGTGGGAGTGAGGTGTGGGTGTGGGTCTAGTTTTCACTCATATCCACGCCCCACACTCGCAAACTCACATCTCACACCCACACGCGTCTACCCAAACATACACTACACTCACTCGCATCCACACCTACACAGCCAAACTGCTACACACCAACACTCCATACCCACACTCACACTCTCCACAGTTTATAGGAATCCACCTCGACATATTCTTCACTTTGTTCAAAACTATTTTGACGAAAAATTATTAAATTTTGTAAGAAAATCATTTTTAGAGCATAGTTTAAACTACAGGAATATTTATTTAAGTTAAGTGGAGACTAACAGTAGGGATTCTACGGAATAATGAATATTTTTTAGTCATGCTTGTGTGTTTCAGAATCGTCTGGATACTTTTCTGGTGTTTTAAAAACAGGATCAGCATAATTGGTGTGAATCAGCCACATTTGCTTGCAGTATTTATAATAAACAGCATATTGAAGCTGATCGGATTCTGGAACAAATGAAATACGATCTTTTCCTAATATGGTCAATATATCATTTCGTTCAAAAACACCAATCAAATTTCGTGTTATAGTTTTAGTAGCATTTTTGCTGATAATTTGAATGAATAATTTACCATCATCACCTGCTTGTTTTCCGTAGTCGATTGAGACCAATTGTTTGTTAAAACCCAACGGAGGATATTCAATAGTAATTCGTGGATTTTGTCCAATAAAAATTGTGAATCAACTATAGTCGGATAATCCAAATGATTTGATAGACATGTCAAACTAATTCGTGCATTCTCATCTTGAAACATAAGCGTGATGTCATCAGCTGTCAATTGATTGAAATCTAAATGTGACTATAAGAAATTCATGTTGAGAACTAACTTTGCCTCGTTGAGTGCGCGAATCAGCATAATCATATTGAAAATCAAATTTCTCTACAATCTCTCGAGTTTCATTGAATTCCGTATGATGACTGGTCACATTACCTAGACTAACTTTCCATGATAGATTTTCGATTGCAAGTAAAGCACGTAAATTAAAGCGAAAAAAGATCGGTACTGGACACATGTGTTTGTTACCCAATCGTTCAATCAGTTCGGAAGAATCAAGATTTTCATTACAGCATTGTGTCGGTGTCAATGGACGAAAATAGAAACGTGCATAATTTTTTGCATCAGTACGCGTCGATTTGATTACATTTTCAGCTGCTGAATCTTTAAACGCACTACTAGTAAGTTGTTCACGTGCTTTTAATTTCCTTTCAGATACAATCGTTGCAGCATTTTCTAAATGTGTAAAATGATACACATAAACAGTCCATTTTGAGTCTTGTGCATCAAGACCAGCAAGAAGCAATTCAGCAGCACTCATTGTATGTGTCACCTTTAGATTCGAAAACAATTTGGCATTGTCTCGATCGATTAGTTTTGCGAATTTTTCTCGTGTTCCATTGATATTCAATAGGTCATCATGGAATGAATGAACTTGAATAGGAATATTACGTTGAAGAAAGTGTTCATCGATCGCTATTGTTGTTTTGGCTGTTAACATCCATTTTAATTCTAATTCAAAATCAGCTGGTAATTTAAAATGTTTGCACAATGTTTGAGGTAACATCTTCATAGTTTCATCGGAACTCCAAGGTCGTTTTATATATAGTTGATTGTTTTTCAAATGAATAGGTACATGATAAATGGGAGTTTTGTTATAAAACAATTCAAGTCGATCAACTTCGAATATCTCAAGATCACAGTCAATAGAATGATTTGTTAGCTTTTGAGAATCAACCAATGCAAATAGATATGGATAAATATCTCGTAACTTAGCGTGCAATGATCGTGAGAACTCTGCTTTGATATCATTCGATAATGTGAGATCATTTCGAGTGATTTGCTGAACAGTGATAGCTTCAAGAAGAAATGCAAGATGAGTATGACGAGCATTTTCATGATTTAGTCTCAGCTGAACGACTTGCGGTGGCAGAATTAAGTTATTATCACTGGCGACAACGAGTTTGTCTGACAGCATAAATTCGTTATTCTGTGTACTAAGAAGAAAGAATGGTTGTTTCATTCTATATTGATGACGACTAGCATGGTCCATTCTTGATAGACAATCGATTAGATCAAAATAGATGAGCTGTATGCGTCGTTCTTCATCGTCATCTAAAGAAGTATTTAGTGAATTATGATAGATACGGTCTAACAATAGAAAATAGTCTTCAATCGAGAATTCAGTTTTAAATCCAAAAAATTGTTGCCATAAGTCTGGCATAGAATTGCGTACGTTGCATACGAAAACAGGCAAATATTTACCAGCAATGGGTCGTAAATTACCAGAAAATACTTCACTACTAGGTAGTAGGTGACTAGTAGTTGTTGGAATACATCCACGTATTCGAACACACCAGTGAGGAAGATTATTAATCAGAATACGACGTTGACTCAATAGCACCTCATTTTCATTCAAAGCTCTAACGTTGATCGAACGTATGACATGTTCCCAGAAAATGATGGCAAATTGATAGTAAACTTGTGTAAGATCGATAAATTTAATTGTCATTCGATTTTTAAAGCCAAAGATGACCATATAACGAGGAAGGTTTAATATGTGAGCACGTATATATGCCGAGACGAGTTCATCATGATGTGTTTCATCAAAACTCATCAAACTAATATTTTCTTGAACGCCTAAAAATTGAAAAAAATATTTCCACTGTTGAATTGATACTCCATCTACCGTTTCTAAATAAGACGGACATAAAAATAAATCCTCATCGAGATTAAGGTTATCCAATGGCAAGTAGGGTAAATAAGCACTAGAAAAGTACAGACGATAAGCTGATACAAGAGTACTCCCAACAGTAAATAGTTTGAGTTTGCCCAATTCATGCAAATGATGAGTACTAAGTAAACCATTCTGAAACAAAACAAATAGCCTCGTGATTGTAATAATAGCATTTGTTGGCGTTATATATCTATCAGTTTGTGGGATAATATAATCATCAACAAATGTAATATCTGTTTTCTCATGAATACCAAGCTTTCGAAGCCATTCTTTGATTTGAGATTGATGTAACAACCAATTCATGATCATTGGATGAATATATGCATCGTTGTTATGGTATGGTGGAAAAAGGCAGAAAGGAAAAATATCGAAAGGGAAAAATGTCGAAAATAAAAATATCGAAAGCAAAAATATTACAAATGTAGATGAATAGAAATGCTGAAAACGAGAGTATGTTGAAGTAGAAATCTGTCTTACCCCCACCTCCAATCTTACATGTTCATTTTCACCTCATATTCTTGTTTTCGACATTTTTATTTTCGATATTTTTCCCTTTCGACATGTTTCCTTTCTGCCTTTTTCCATCCATTCGTTGTTATCTGGCATATGCCAATCTGCATTGCTGAATCTCGATGGTAAATAGATTTCCATTACTTTTCGGGGATGATCAAATTGATCCATCAAAAATTGCACATCATAAAGACGTTTCTGAATTTGTGTAGAATCACGGTGAGTGAACACATAGGAATTAAAGTCTATATCACGTTCAGGAGTAAAACGCGTCAAGAAATAAGCTGATTGTAACATATCAAAACAGTTTTCTCAGGTAAATTGTTTAATACCGAGATTTCGCAAACGATGATTATTATTGACAAATGGATTTGCTGCTAAGTGTAACTTTTTTGATGATGTATGTATAAGAAAATCTCGGATTAATTCATGTCCAATGCAACCTGTCGATGAAAACAATGTTATATCAACAATAGCTTCATCAGTTAGTAGTGATCTTTTATTAACTCCCAGCAGAAATGGAACTGATTTCACGCTACTTATACAACTTTTATTATATTGATCAGCAAGTATATCTTTGGCTGAAATTCTGTTTGGTAATAAATCATGAGCTTTGTCAGTCCATTTCGAATCTTTGGTCAATAATTATATCCATTTAAACGTGACGTGCGGAATGCATGAGAAAAGCCACTGGTTCCAGGAAGAATCAATACGTATATGTTCTCGGCTTGCGTTTACTAAGAAATAGGAATTGACGAGAATGGGCAAATTGTAAGTGGATATTTTCGTTGGAAGATACGCAAAAAGAACACTATTAGTACCTCGCATAGGTACAAATCTGTTATTTTTATCAATCTGAGTCGCCAACGTCATTTCTATAATCTTGGTTTGTTGAAGTTTTTCTGGTAAACGACTATCTTCGAGTGCTTCATTCGGTACATTTAGTTTACATGTATGTAATAGCCAATGGGATATCATCTCATTATTATTAGAAGAGATTTTCACGGATCCATCTTTTAATAGTGATACATTCAGCACGGTCTCTATAGTAGAATTGACTGATGTACGAATATCTCGAATACGTCGCAAAAACATAAATACATGTGGTTGTTTAATTAAAAATTCAATTGATTCTTGAGCGTTCGCCATATTTTTTAGACGAATAATATGAGCCACGACTTCAGGTTGTCCGAATAACCACTGTCGAATAGACTTTGGAAGTAGTTTAGTTTCTGTTCATATAGGACAGATTTGCCATGGATACTCGAATTTTTGTCGATTAACTGCTTCCCAAGTAGCTTGATCTTTCCCCCATTTGTGATCCCATTGAAATTCATTAGCTGTCGAATCAAATCTGGAATATTCGTCTTTGGATGCAACAAGTATATAATCTGATTGTCCAAATACGGCTTTGAAACCTAAACCTTTGTAGCCGGTTTTCTCACGACCATGCTTCTTTGTTCCACAACCAACACGGCAGAGGCCTCGTACATCATCTTCATCAAATGGTTTTCCATAGTTAGCCACAATCAAATAATTCTTGTCTACAATAGCAATGCGTAATAGTGGATTTTTCATCGGATGTCCATCATAAGCATCATCACTATTTTGAATGAGCTCATAAATGAAACGAACTGGATCAGTATATAAATCATCAGAAAGAGCTCTTAAACAATGAGCTTGGTTCACTGCTTGTTTTGCATATTCATAGTTGCTATGAGCAACAAATATATTTTTGACTATATTTTTAAGAGTCATACTGCTTTGTTTATACTTATCGTTTTCTCTAGACAAAATGTTCTTTTGAATAAGTAGTTTAATGTTTAATGGACGAATGACTTTATCAGTTATATTCTAAAAACTTTGTGTTTCTTCGTCGCAGAGTTGGAACCGGACAGGTTTTTTCTGTGCGGTTCGGTCAGCAACCGGCCGGACGAATTTTACAGCCAAGCTGGCAAAAATCCGCTGAAAATAATCAACCATAAAATTATCTGTTAACATAAAATGTTGGCGAACGGGAATTGAATATTCACATGCAGAAATCCCAACTAGGGGTGATCAATTTACATTTACGAAAAATTTATAAATCCAAAAATAAATTTTAAAAAGTTTTATTTATTTCGAATTTAAATTGGATTTACATAAATTTAAATTTTGTAAAATTATTTAAATTTATTTCAATCCAGTTTAAATCAATATGAATTCAATCTAAACGAAATAAAATTCAATTTTAGTTCATTTAATTGGATTTAAATCCATTTACATTAATTCATATAGGATTTAAATCCAATTAAATGAATTTACATTGAATTTTTTTTGGTTTAGATTGAATTTATACTGATTTAAACTGGATTGAAATAAATTTAAATAATTTTAAAAAATTTAAATTTATGTAAATCCAATTTAAAATTATAATAAATTAACAGCAAATCGCCACCCTTACTCCGAACTGGAAACTAAAACTTGGGACTGAAACTCTCCCTTCATATTTTATAGCAAGGTGCGTCGACTTTTCGAGCCCGACATCGATATAAATTAGCTATTCAGAACAAATCTGTTTTTCATCTTAATTTCAAAAAAGAAAAAAAAGCAAGTTTATAACATATCTAACATAAAATGTAAATTTTTATTTTTCTTGATTCAGGCAGCTGCCTGAGTAGAACAAGAGAATAAATTATTTGATCAAGGTTAAATTGAGCGATACACGAGAAAGAAATCGATAGAGATATAAAGAGAACAATCAATCGTTTATAGTCAAGTCGAAGATAAAATATCTATTGAGTCTTTCGCAAACACATTCTTCTGACTTGAAAATATCATAAAAAAACCATTTTTAGTAGGAAAAATTCTTGGATGCAAACAACAATTTTGTAATGATGAACTGGCAAAAATCTGGTTCTGTCCAGCCCGGTTTAGCTTCTTGTCCGGTCTTGTCCGGATCGGTTCCAACTCTGCTTCGTCGACAAAAACAAAACTCTTCACAAGCATGTGAGCGACATTTGTTATTTTATAATTCAGACTGCTTGTCAACCCATTGTTTTGACGAGAGTTTTGTCAACAAAAGAATGGAAAGAATTTAAAAAAAAACATCGATGACCAGCTACACTAATAAAATAATGAAAAAAAAAAAAGATGAAAAGCAAAGAGACTACTCTTAGCAACAAACAAGCTAGAATACCCAAATTTTTTATTCATATTAGTGACCAACAAGCACAGTGTGACTACCATCCATTCTATCAAAAATGAACTCTCCACAGAAATGTTAATTTTGGCAAGTTACATACTTTGATTGCTGTAGAATTCGTTGCATCTAGCGATAAGAAAACGGTAGTGGGCCAATTGAATCTCCTATATGTTCCTTTCTTTCTTGCATTTTTTCTTATTTTATTAATTGTTGTAAAAAGTTTACAATACAACAATTCCTACTCGTGTTTTGGGTATGGGTAGGTAGGATTTACATTGTGTAGGTGTGGATGTGGTTCTAATGTTCATCTACACCCACATCCATCCGTACCGATACCATTACATTATTCTGCTTCATTGCAACTTCTTGTGACTCTCCTGTCATGACCGATTGTTCCTTCAGAATCGTTCGCTGAGCTGGATGTTGTCTTTGAATGTAATGTTGCAATGCAGGTTATTACTGCTCGTGTCGTTTACAATGATTTTCTCATCTGGTATGACAATATTGTGACAGATACTACACACAAAAAAATCATTGTAAGAAAGATCGTTTTGGCTGCTCAAAAATGTATGTGTTTTGAGCAGTGTACAATGAGTAGTAAGCTTGCCGAAAAGTCCTCACTAGCCGATAGATGAAATATTTTCATTTTATCGAACAATATTTAAGACCTAATTTTATATGGCACTGGTGCTCAGACGCATTAACTATCTTTTGATAGTTTCAGAATAACGTCTATGAGAAGTGCAGTAGAAAGGCTTCTAAAACGCTTGAATATCATGCAATAATCATTTTTGCGTCTTCCAATATTTACATTCTCAGAAACAAAACTATGGAAAAGCTAAAATTTACACATACAACTAGTCTGATTTTGATCTTCGATCATGCACAGTTTGAAGTCGAAACTCAAAAGCCGATTATCTACGTAACTCAGGAGAAGCTATATCTTTTTGTCAAAACTATATTAAAATATCCGTATCTTCTCTAAAACGAAAGCCAGAAAAAAACAAATCATAAAAGACTTATCTAGCGCTAACTAGTACTTATTAAATGAACATGATTTCGATCACAAAAAGGTGTGAAAATCTTCGAAAAGATAATTTCGTCAGGATAATTTAAAGCTATAACTATTACATAATTAATACAAAACTTTATTTTGGATTAAAAGGAACTCATTATAAATGAAAATAAAAGTGTTGCAATACAAAACATAGTTGACATAGTACTAACATTAGCAGAATTTTCTCCGACAATCATCATGCCATCTTTACCAACAATCGATTTAATCCAATCGATATACATAGTAACTCGGGTGTAAATACCAGCATGATCACTCAATCCACATCCTTTACCAAAAGATGTTATACCTGCTAGCACCCATTGTTCATAAATATCTGAGTAATACATCAATGGACCACCTGAATCACCTTGACATGTATCTATAGACAAGAAAAAAAACCACTGTTTTTGTCGCATAATAATATTCAATTACCTTTGCCTCCACCATTGGCAGCTGCACAAAATTGTGTGATTTTATTTGTAATAGAATTCCTACATTTGGATTCTTGATTATCAACAGCTTCAATTGTCACTTGTCTGAGATCGTATGATACAGAACCATGTGGTACTGTATATCCCCAACCAATACCTATAAGGTGTGAGTTTGTCAATGGAAAATCAGTTTCTACAATGCCATTTAAAGATGGTAGACAAAGTTTAGCAACATTTTCATCTTTAAAAGAGATTGCTCTTTTTAATTTAAGAATAGCGATATCATTTTCGTGTCTAGCTAGATTCCACTTTGGATGTACATAAATTTTTGATACAACTATTCTTTGTCCATTATCATCAAGGAGATTGTTTCTACCAACAACAACTGTTAATTCGTCTATTGAAAGATAAATATCATCGACACAATGTGCTGCTGTAATTATATAGTATCGAGAGAGAATCGAACCACCACAAAAATGTCTGCTGTATGACTTCCGTAATGAAACAGCCCAGCCCCAACTATGACTAGCAGCTACTTCACCACCGACAATTCTGGCATTAATAACAACTGGATTTCTTGAGCAACCACATGGAGCAGTCGTGTTACATGAATATATTGATGCTTGTACTAAATATTGATTAAGAAAAAAACATAACACGACTAAGATGAGTGGAGATTGACTAATCATACTGTTGTGTTGTTATTGTCTCCTCGTGTGACATGATGAAGGTGTTTGTCGTACTTATATATTTATTTTGATGATTAGAGTTCTTATCAAAATCTTAACATGATGAAAACAACATATATTATCATATTTTTTGTTTTGCTTACTCACTATGTTGCATGACGCCTATTCTTATCTTGTAGGCGTTCGAGAGCAAACTTTCAGTTAGTAATATTGAAATAATAAAAAAGATCTTACACTGCGAAAGAAAAATGAGTTCATCTAAATGTGCACAATATTTTCTATAGACAATGTTATCTTTTCTTTTCTTCTAATGTCATTTTATTTCGATAGTGACACATAGATAACAAAGAAGGAGTGTACTTTTGTTAATCGTAATTAAAAAACTTCCTTTGAACATCATATTAAATTGAAAAAAAAATAGTAAATTGATGAATATATCGTGAGCCGTACAGACAATACTCGAATTACTTTCTATTCTTAACATAATCATTGTGTCACTATTAGTTAATTTGTTCCAATCAGTGTGTATAGTAAGTTGAATGTAAATATCAGTCTAATGTGAAATAAAATAACTATTTTTGTGTGATAGTAGACGTAACAACATGTATTATTGACAATTCTGTAAGAAATATATGAACTAGATCGCTGTGATCTCCAACATATGTACATGGATTAAGATAGAATGCATTCACAGATATCACAATTGTTTCTTATCGTTTTCTTCCATAAGCAGATGAAACTATAGTCCACTCGATTGTTGTAGGAGCTGGGTCCGAAACTGAAAATTTTGAACTCAACTGTCTCTAGCCATTTGAAAAACTAGTAAGGTGTGATAGTCCTCAACTAAGAACAGCCGAAGAAAATGATTTCATACCTTCGAACAACTATTCAGTTCTAATCAGAAAATTTTATTGAGAGTATCTATGCACGGTTTGAGGGAGACCGCGATCGAAAATTTCCGACTCGATAAGTCTAGCCGGAAGAAAAACTTCTAAATTGGCTTTTTTTCATTATATACTGATACTTGAAAACAGTGTCTCGTACCGTATCTAGGAATTTTTAACGCACGTATAGTTTGCCAGCTCAATTATTTTGAGGGAAGGACAGCAATAGGCAATTAAAAATTAATTATGCTAAAATTTTTTTAAACCTTATTACCGTCACGAAACCAATGTTTATTGAAGAGAAGTTCGTTACTTTTAACTAAGAGGCATGCTCGCATGCTTGTTTTGTATTCTTTCACACATGTACTCCTCAACCTTCAAATAATATGACTAAAAAATGTCAAAAAGCACAAGTAGAGCCATTGGTGAATTTGAAGTGGAATGACAAGTATTTTGACAAAAAAAAGAATACTATTCAATTGTCATCATTGTGATTATTGGTTTAATGGAAAACATAGTCAGTTGATTCAATCAAAACAAGATACAATATATTAAAATATTTCCACTTCAATCTTTGTACATGTGCGTTTATCACGAGTTTTCATCATTGGCTAATTGATATCGTTTCAAAAAAATGCATGGCCAATTCCTTTGAATTTTGTGGACAGTGCTTCAATGGCTATACTCCTTGTTACGCCATTGATAATATTATTTATTGAATTGTTACATTTTGTTTCTTTGTTTCCAATAACTTTTAAGTCTCACTTGTCTAAGAACATTAGATTCAATACCATTTGATGTCGTATATATGTAACTGATGATTTCTATCTCTAAACTCGATAGGATTTTTCAAGTTAAGAAATAGTTGGTCACGTCTAATGAGAATCAAAAAAATATGTGACACTAAAAGTGTTTGTTCGTTATTATCAGAAAACGTATCTATACTAACGGCAACATCTAATTCATACTCGAGAATCGTCAACACAATGTTCTACTGTGAGAGTAAATCATAAGGAGATGATCACTCTATCAGAGAAGTGAACTTCATTTAGAATACATAATGAAACAGTCTAAACCCAACTATATTAACGGTATAGTTAACATTAATTATTTGAAATTTTGACATCGACATTATATTGCGAACATTCATTGAATGAAACACACAAGACAAAATATATCTACTTTAATAAGACATCTGTCATATAAAATAAGAGAAAATGGTATTTGATATTAATCTCAGTATTTTATTCATTGAACTAGTTTTGAGTCAAAGAAAATGTGTTTCACGATATTTATTTGATTAATCAAGAATGCAATAGAACAAAAATTTTTTTCTAAAAATTTTCGCATTCTATTTGTATTTTTCTTTATAATTTTAAGCACCTAAAACGAAACCAGATAGTGATTTTAACAGTAAATGAAGTTTTCTATCTGATGTATTCTATGGCAAGATTTCATGAATGAATTATGATAGGACAGTTTCTAAGAAAAATTCGACACAGTAGTTCTCAGATGCAAGCAGCTATTCATTAACAATGCTTTTTTCAAACAGCACCAAATTTTGAACGAAATGACTTGTCGCTGCATTTTACACGGCCTCCCCTTAAAAAGTTAAACATATCACAAAAAATGGTAAAAAAGTCAAATTTAACAAAAAAAACTTTTTTTCAATCTTTCTGATGCTTTCTAAATTTTTAAGAAAAGGTTGCAGAAAATGAAGCGACTCTTCACATTATCCACACTTTTATGCTCTTGAAAATGGCACTGTTGAAGAATAGCTTCTTGAATCTAAAACCAACATTACTATCTAGATTTGAGCTAATCACTAAATATTGTAGAAAAATATCAAAAACATGTATTTATTAAAGTTTTCCAACACCTTATGTTCAATTTCATTTGAGAAATTCTCTTGCAAAAACATTCCGCTATTCATTTCTCATCTTTCTAAATGACAAAATCGTTAAAATCTTTATTTTAATTGATCGACTATAAATCAATTTTCTATATTGACGTACCATCTTTCGCTAGAATGATATCTTTCATAATGATTATTAACGCCATCTCTCATGTATATTCATACAGAATTCAAATTGATTAAAATATTTTAACCTATTCAAAGTATTTAGTTTCGTTTTACTTTTATTTATAGCTGAAATTTGATCCTTGGTGGCAGCTGTAGAAAATTTGATTGGATAATAGATTCATCAATTGTGATGAATAGTACTAATCGATATTCGACATTAGTTATCATTTATCTCTGTTTATTCATTAAAAAATGGCTTCAGCAACATTGTTTCGTCTTGATCAGCGAGTATCCATTGCTGGCAAAGGCTTAGGAACTATTGCATTTGTTGGAAAAACAGAATTTGCTGATGGTAATGAAGATTTTTTTATTCGAATTTTGTATTCGAAATTTTTACAGGTGAATGGATTGGCGTTATTCTTGATGAACCAAAAGGAAAAAATAATGGCACTGTACATAAGAAAGGTAATTGAAATGTTCTACTTGATTTTATATAAGAAATATTCTTTTAGATGGAACAATTGTACAATATTTTACATGTAATGATAATCATGGTCTTTATGTGCGACCTGGACAAATTGAATCTGTAATTAATGATTTACAACCAAATCTAAGTCGATCAGCTTCGAATCATTCAATTAAATCTCAAGGTAGTAGTACAGGAAGTATTCCACCACCATCAACTTCGGCAATACCAAAAACCAGTGCAGTACCACCAAAACAAAGTGGACTTCGAGCACCAATACCGGGTACAACCACGAAACCTTCAGGTATAAAATAATTCAAATAGAACACATAATCTTTCAATATGAATATAAAAATAATCGAAAATAAGGAAAATTCTGTTGTTTTGTATTATATTAGAATTTGATGATGATATTGATCCGACAGGTGGTAAGATCATAAATAGTTTTATTTTATTTTTGTCGGTAATCAGATAATGATACAAAAAAAAATATTAGAATTTTTCATTTGTATCACTTTATACAACTAAATAATATTATATAGTCAATGGTGATGGTTTTATTTTCATTATCACGTTCAGTGTTTAATCTTGTTCTTGTTTTTTTAAGGTCTTATTCGAACAGCTCAATCATCTAGTGATATTCCAACAGCAGTAGCAACAGAACAAATATCACCACCGAAAGAAGAGATTAAATCAAGACTAGTATCACAATCCAAAGCAACAACTTCTATGGTAAAAGAAATACTTTTATCTATTCAATGCTTTTTTTTTTGATGGTTTTGGAAATAATAATTCACTATTACTGATAGAGATGTAAGCCGATACATAGATTTGATGGCAGACATTATTCGAGTGTTTTTAGAAATGTTGTAAGATATGAGAATTGTGCACATGGAAAATAACGATAGGGAATAACTAATAAAAAATTAGGTAAAGAGACCGTCTAGTGATATATCTAAAATTCTCGAAAAATTATTTTAAAAATAGAAAAGTGTTACAATGGTACTGTCTATTTTGTCCCGAAGTGACTGCTGTGATTTAGAGTATTGTAACTCGAGAGTAGGATACGTATGTGAAAAGTAACGATTTGTGGAGATACATACTTCATTTTTTATAATACAATCGATAAAAAAATTTGAAAATATATGTTTTTCATGCGCCTGTTTAACAATGATATACTTGATGGCATCGTTTATTGATCATTCTGTTTAGCTATCAGTGATCTAGTACAGCAGTGCAACTTATGGCTTGGGTACCCAACTAACTGATACAGGTTACTTGAGTCTCGATGAGATAAAGGCTTGGGAGAAATAGTTTTCTGTTCCTACTTTTCCGTCGCGTCTACGAAAACCTTAAGCTATTGTCAGAAAACTGTCTGTCAAATTTTTTAGTACCTTTCAGTTGTAAAAAATACCATGAAGCGCCCTGATGGATAGTACAGATTCGGATACAGGTACAAAAATTCGTTCTCGTATAACATTCTACTATAATTTTCAAAAACTTATTTACGGCACTTAAATCCAGTCGACTTCCACCGCTATTGATCTAGAAAAGAGTTAGGACTTATTTATAGTCCTGAACCATTGTCTGGAAATGTTGCAAAGTATGATGGCCATTGTGCTATTTTTTCAAATAAAATTTTTGTTTTCTTTGAAATCTTGAACATTCAGATCTGTTTTGTTTTTTGTTATTATTTAATATTTCTTCGAAAAATATTTTAGCTACCACCAGCTTCAGTTCCTCCTATGGAATCAATTAATATACCAAGAAAATCGATCAGTTCAATAGCAGAATCATCAGATTCTCAACAAATGATTATAAGTCTAAAGAATAAAATTAGCGATCAAGAAGAACAAATTCAAACATTAATAAAAAAACGTCGTGATGATCTTGAAAAAGTTAAAGAATTTGAACGTACAAGACTTCAACTTGATCAAGTATATTTTTGAAATAAAAGATTTTCCTTATTGATCAATATCTACATTTAGTTACAAACATATAAACGTGAAGCACAAGAACGTATTAAAGAATTAAATGATAAAGTACAACAACAAGAACATGAATTAAAAGATACACGTGATAAATTTGCTACTTATCGTGATGAAATGACTGATACAGAAGTACGAATTGAATCACTTACACTTGATCTTGAAATGGCTGAAGAAAAAGTATTTATCTTATTTTTTTTTTTAATCTTATTTTTTAGTTTTTATTTATTATTTTTCTAGCTTGAAACAATAACATTAGAAAATACAACATTAAAAGAAAAATTCGAAGAAGTACAATTAGAATTAGATGTTATTAAAGGTGAAATACAATTAAATGGACCTAATCAAGTAGCAAATGATATTCAACAAAAAATTGATGATGAACGAACAATTAAAATGGAACAAGCATTAATTAAGTAAAAACTTTCATGTTTTTTTTTTGGGTTATTATTTATTTCATCAATTTTATTGTTTAGATTGCGTGATTTATCATTGACTAAACAAGCTGAAAATGATACATTAAAAAAACAATGTGAAACATTAGAATATAAAGTCAAAACTTTAACAAAAGAAAATGAAAATGCTAAAGCTGAAATTACAACAATGCAAGCAACAATTGCTGATTTAACAGAACAGGTTCGAAGAAAAATCAAAAATATTCTTTTTTAAACAATATTTACTTCTATGAAAATATTTATTAGCAAAACATTCGATATAAATTTATTATTAAAAATTCATAGAAGCTATATTTTGAAGGATTCGATCTTGTTTTTGAAATATTCAGAAAGTTTTCTTATTTTTTTTGTTAATTTTTTTACACAAATGTGAATGTCACTGGAGAAGCTCGAAGTGAAAGGACATCAAAATTTTATATCAAGTACCGTTTATGAAACATCCTATGAACTTCTAATGTTATTTAAAACTAGACAATGACTACTCGACGGTACTTATGATCATCATGTTTTCCAAAAAAAAAGGAACCACCTGCCATTGCAGCTTATATTTGGCCCAAGAGGACGTTGTGGTGAAACTATCAGAAGTATAAAAGGCTTCACTCTCATGAACCCTTGAAATCAAATTATGATTGTTTTACTAAACTTTCAATCGTTTATTGAAAAATCAAGTAATTGAATTTCAATCTGAAACTAGCTCCATAGATAGATCGAATGATTCTTAGAATATCCTGAAAGTTAAAGCTAAGAAAAATGTTTTTCTTTCTCGAGATATTGGATTTTCAAGTAAGTTCGAATTTTGTATCAGACTTGCAACAAGCGAGCATATTTTTGTAAGTTCAGTATCTCAACAAAAGAGCATTTCTTTTGACTAAAAAATTTTAGGATATTCTACTTGATCATTCGATCTATTTATGTTTAAATACTGACTTTTGTTTTTGTTTCAGTATGTGCCTAAAATTCAGAAAAACGATCATAACTTAGTTTCAAAGACCTACGAGGATAAGCTCTTTTCAGATTCGTCTAGTTTCATCAACACATCCATATAGACTAGAGCTCATCGGATCCAAAATTTTCGTATCTAAATCCGTCTTTTCTCGAATAACTAAGATCATATATTCGTTTAGGTTGATACATGTTTGGGTGCTCAACAAATGGTTGATATATTAACAAATAAAAATCTTTCACTTGAAGATCAAGTACGAGAATTACAAGAAGCTGTTGATAATCTTGTAAGTTTCTCTTATCTACTTTTTTTGTATTATTGACTTCTTTTTTTAATTTTCAATGGAAAATTTAAAAGGAATCACTTTGTGAAATGGATAAAGGTAAACAAAAACTTAATTTTTTCTTCATATTTTTCATTATGTATTTTATGAACATAGAAATGGAAGAAAATGCTAAAGAAGTCGAACATGATCTTCGTGAAAATATTGATTTATTACAAAATCAAATACGCGAGGTTTTAAATATAATTTTCTTTCATTCGAAATCGAATTCACAAAAATCTTTATTTTTTTTTTTGTCTTTCAGAAAGATCGACAAATCGAACAATTACAATATGTTATCGGTGATCATGAACGAACAATATTAAAATTTCGTGAAACAGTTAAAAATATGCAAGTATGTTCATCTTATTAATAAATCTATTTTGAAAAAAAAAACAAAAAAAAAAGTAAAATTTTCTTCTAGTTTCAAAATGAACAATGTAAAAAACAAATTGAAAAATATGATGAACAATTAAAACTAGCTGGTTCAGTTCAATCAAGTGAATTTAAAGCTAAAATTGTTGAAACAAAAACATATGGTGAAATAATTGAAAATGAATTAAAAAAACTTGATGTACAAAATTTAAACAAACATGTTCATCTTTTAACATTATTTTTACCTGAACAATTTCTTAAACGTGGTGCTGATCAAGATTGTATACTTGTTCTTTTACTTATTCATCGTTTAATATCAAAATGTGATTTACTTATTAATGAAATACAAAAAAAAATTCCAAGAATTGATCAAATTAATTTTGATGATGTTGTTAAATCACATAGTGCAGAACAATGGAGTTTTGCATGTAAACTATCTCAATCATTATCAATTTTTCAAATGATTCTTCGAAAATTTGTCAAGTAAGATTTATTTTTCTTTTCTTTGAATAAATGATTCGTCAAATAGACTGCAGGAAAAAAGTCAAGAAATTATTTTTTTTTGACTTTGATGATGTGCATCTTATTGAAACCTAATTTTGATACGGAGTTTTTGAGCTTTCCATAAATACTACCTAAACATAAGAGCAGGGTGTGTTTCACAGTGCAGTCAGCATGCTATCAGATGGAGTAATTCAAGACATACAGTCGTTAGTATCTTATCTATAGTTATTTCGTAGCTGATGGTATCAAATTTGGAATACAGTACTTTGAGAATACGTGTCGAAGGACGTAGTCATTCAGTCATGACGACTTTGGACTTCGGCCCCATGTTTAGCTTTATCTTATTAATTTTCATAATAGGCCGTTTTTCTATGACTGATTGATAGATTATGTAGTGCGCTAGCAGAATGTGTTTAGACCTGAGCTAGGCATGAATTTTGGTTTCAAAAATCAATTGCTATCAGTGTATCAAACTTATGATAAATTTCTCCTTAGCTTTTCATCATTTTTCTATTTATATACAGTTTTGTAGAGAAGTTCAAGCTGAAGCATGCAATAAATATAAATGTTTCAATCACTATAAAATTTAAAGATATTAGCCATATAATTTTTTACGAGTCACTCGTTAGTTTAATTAGTATATATATATATATTTATTTATTTAATTTATAGAGCAATGGAAGTGTGCAATCCTGATACTCTTCGTCATATAGCTAGTACTTATCCTGATTTGTTAACACATGAAAAATCACTTGATTTTCTTATTGATCTTTTACAAAAAGATCAATTACATGATTCATTATCATTAAATACATTAGATAAAACAATATCATTCTATGAAGTATGCATTAATTTTTTCATTTTCTTTATTTAAATTTGTTACCTATTGTTTTTTTTTCTTGTTTTAGCACATCTATAAAAGTTATTTAAGTCAAGAAAACTTTTCTATGTCGAATTATATGCGAGATTTAATACGTGTAGTATTATATAGTAGTGATGCACTTCAAACCGATATTCAACGTATACAAGTTTTACAAAAGGTAAATATAAGCAAAAACAAAAAAAAAAAGAATTTCATTTTTAATGAAATCAAAATTTTCTATCAATAATATAGGAATATGAACAGGTAAAACGTATGAGAAATATTTTTTTTTATGGTTTAGGTGAAATGTATAAGCATTGTATTTTGACATTGTTTGCTAAAATTGAATTGTTTTTAGAATAACTATAAATAGTTCGTAATACTTTACAACATTGATTTTAGAAGAATTTACTTAACTAAGATTTTAACTCTTTATTATGCAGACCCGAAAAAAAGACGATTGATACAGTTTAGATCAAGGAATTTTGAATTTGTTCCAGGTACCTCGTTTCCACTGATGAAGTATTTGTTAATACTTTGTTCAGTATAATTTGCACTATATCAATGTTGATTTCACATTTGTACGGTCGGCTTTCTACTGACCATCATTCTACCGCTGTATACCAATTGTAGTGCAAACAATCATGTAACATGAGTTTTAGTAATATCACCAACAATAAGTAAAGTCCAAAGCCATAGTATTTTTTCAAAACCCGATGTATTTCGGGTACTTTGTTGTTATTTGAGGTACCTCCTCTTGAGAAGACTACAATATAATCACATTTGATTTACTCATATGAGAAAAACCAAGAAATAGAGTTCGATATAAACTAATTTTTTGTGACTCTATTTGAGATCGAGGATATTTCTCGATCAACTGAACTGACTTTTTCAGAGATTGAACATCCTTCTTTCATAAATCTAAATAGAACTCTCTCAAAATTCAAGAAAACAACGTTCTGTCTACCCTTCGTGAAAAATTGACCATGGTTTGTTATTATGGTCGTATCGGGAATCAACAGTTATTTCGAAAATTAGATAGATCAGACTTAAGTCGTCGAATTGTGTACCAGAAAGAACAAAACGATGGCTATTGATTTTTGTTTTATTAATCACATTATTATTTATTTTCTTATTTCACGCTTAGAATAAATCAAAAGGAAAGCTTTATTTCAATAGTTTCTCTTTATAATTTAGCCTGACAGTGATCAAAATCCATTTGCTGTTCTTATTAAGCGTCTTATTGAAAGTAATGAACAAATTCGAGCTCAAGCTAGCAAAGTAATCGAAACAAAAAAAACAAGAAAATTGTTTCTTGTATCAAATATCTTTGTTTTTTTTGTTTATAGATAAATCGTCTTGTACCACAAGATGATGATAAAAATCGTTCATTAATTCTCGATTCAAATAGCATATCTTCAATTGAAACATCTATTCGTAATTTAGATCGTTTAACAAAAACATTTCATGAAATATGTTCTAGCTTAACAACACAAATTCTTTTACTTTCTGGTAAATCATTACTTTCATATCAAATAAAACATTATATCTTCATTATTTAGATGCTAATGAACGAGTTAGCACAGAAGATATAGAAAATATTGCCTATCAAGCATGTGATAAAATCTATAAAAAAGAAGATAGTGGTCCATATGAAAGTCTTTCGTAAATATTATTTCATTTTTTTTAAATAAAAAAAGAAAAACACTGATTTTTTTTTCTATAGGGATTCTATGCACGAAACAGTTTCTATATTAACAACAATAAGTAATTCATTAGAAACAGGTTCATATGATTCAACAACAATTGAACAAAATATTAAGCAATCAATTTATTTAATTGCTGAACAATTTAAAACAACAATAAATCAATCAGATGTTATTCGTAGTAAACTTGAATTAAAAGAAGAAGAATTATTAGAAGTTAAAAAAGTACTTAAAATAAAACAAGATGAACTAAGTGAATTAAATATACGTTTATCATTAAATGAAAAAAAAATTGAAAGTTTACAAAAAGAATTCGAAGAGAAAGATAATAAACATAAACAAACATTAGAAGAAGTTAAGATTGATGGACAAAAAAAGATTAAGTAAATTAAAAGATATTAAAATAATAAGAAAGAACAAAAAAAATAATATTTTCTTGTTCTTTATTATGTATAGACAATGTGAAGAAGCTATAGCTGTTTTACAAAATGATAATGAACAACTTGAACAAGAAAAAACTGCATTAAAAGAACGACTTAAACAATTAACTAAAAATAAACTTGTTGATGATTTAATGCAAAAAAAAATTGGAGGAACATTAAAAACACCTGGATCAAGTAGTAAAACTATATTGATTTTATTTTTATTTAAATAAAAAAAAAATTTCTATTAATTTAGCTTCTACAACTGATGGACAAGTATCTCCACAACGTCAATTATCATCATCATCTATGAGTGATGGAAGTTTTGTATCAACAACAAGTGAACAAGAAGTATTATTTGATATTTTTCTTATAGAAATCTTACATATGTTTACATATTATAGATTGCAACACTTCGAAATACTGTTCGACTTTTAAAAGATGAAATATGGCATCTAAAAATGAATCATGCATCAACTCAATTAGCTGAACTTGAAACACCAATACCGTCTACGAAAATAAATGAAATAGCTGAAATTTATAAAAGTTCAACATTACTTTTAAATGTATGTATATCAATAAAAGTTTATCACAATAATGTCAATATGTAAAATTTCAGTATTTGTTTTTTAAGATATAAATATTTTTGCTAACGAGTGAACTAAAGCGGTGGAAAAAGGTTTTTTATAACAACGTATTTTTTATTTTCTTGTTCTATAATGTTAAGCAATTATAAAACACACACACCATTGACTATGAAAAACACTATCAGGAGTTTGATGTAAGTGCTTAACATTATAGAAAAAAAAAACAAAGATACGTTGTTTAATAAGCTCTTTCATTGCCTGAGCCCAACTATAATCCACCGTTTGCAATCATATTGAATTCACAGGAAGATCCTGGTAAGAGTAAGAAATCCTAAAAGAGTTTTTCATAGTCTTACATCCTTCATATTATTCAACACGACAAAAAAAACTGAGGGACAGTCGAAAAGGCTGACAGTAAACGAAAACCGAAATAAAACATCGATCTTGTAGTTATAATACAAGACTATATAATTAGAGAGTCACATATAATGATACATCAAGACAAAAAGTGATTCGTTATTCGTTTCTTGATATTTTAGTCCACCGTATATTTTCTATTCAAACCAGTATTAGATCTTTTTAAAAATTGCACAACTTATTCAACAAATAATGAGAAACCATATATTTTTTTCTTATTTCAGGATCTATTTTCATCAATAGCCAATTATAAAATAACTGGAGAAAATGTGGCTGTTAAACAAGAAATTATACGTTCAAAAATGAAATTAGTTGACCAAACAGCAAATAATGTAAGTACATTTCTTTTACTATCGGTACCGGAAATCAAGACATTTGAATGATTCAAGATAATAGCATAGAGTTTTCAATGACAGATAATGAAATCTCTAATACATCACTTCAACATCAAAGCTGACATACTAACCTATCGATTTTTTTTTCTTAAGTATCAACTCTTGAATGTCTTTTACCGAACTAGATCTCAGCAAAATTTCTATTATGTTCCAGTGAAAAGTCTCGAATGATTTTTAAGAAGATTTACAGTTTACATATTGTTTAATGAGGTATTTTCAGAAAGAGATGTTATTGATCATAGTAAATCTTATCACTATGTTCGATGTCAAAATAAAACATTCGAACCAAACTAAATCTTACATTAAATCAGTATAAAAAATATACTCAACTTATAACATATATCCTTTTAACTGACTGAATTTCTGAAAAAACAAAAGAGTTTTCTACTTGTTTCTTAAGTTTGACGGTATGCATGAATGAACAATATGAAACTTCTAGGACTTCTGAAAAACCATTCGAAGCTTCTGAATCTGAACAAAACTGAACTTTTAATTTGATCTACTTCTGTAGAAACCACTTAATATAATACATCTACAAAAAAAATAATAGACTAGTTTTGAGAAATACAACCTAGTTTTTAAAGATCCTTTGAAAAAACCGACCTTTGGATTTGTCTCTAAAAGAGTGTTTGAAAAGATGATTGAAAACCCTCTACCATTGTACAAGTTCTTTTACTTTTTAGCTAAATAATCGTCTCTATCAATGTCAAAGTAATATTATTCCTGGTTCAACAATTGAAACAATGATGAAAACATTTTGCAATCCACAATTTTCTAAAGTTGATCTATTTTATTGAAATCGTTTTTTTTTTTTGTGTAAATAGATTTTCTTTTAGACTGTTGTAAATGATCGACAATTAGCAGCCGAAATTCAATTACCCGGTGGTGGTGATGGTAATGGTGCTGAATTAAATATAACTCAAGAACAATATCGTACAATAATGCGTGAAGCTATTGGTTGTGTTTAATTTTTTATCTTATCCATAGCAGATAGTTTGTTTTTTTTTCTTTTATTGTGTCTTATACGGATGATGATATTCTTTATATATATACATATATATTAACATTTGGTATTTGGACTTCCACGGCAAGGTGTATTTATATAAACAAAAAAAAAAATAAAATAAAAATTTCTTATTGGTTTTATTTGGATTTCTTCTTCTTTTTTTTGCCTTTTTTCTTTTTTTTAGGTTTTGCTGGTTCAGTAAATTTAAGAAAAAAATCTATAAAATAGAAAATAAATTGAAAGAAAAACAAAATAAATATAAAATGTTTTTTTTCTTTTACCATTATAATTGAATAAACCTTGTTCATTAATATTCATATTATCATGAAATGTTTTTGCTTCAATTTCATTGAGTTGTTCACCAATATTTATTAATTTTTTGATCATTTCATCTGCTTCTAATAAACCAGATTTTTCTATATCAAATACTTGAAAAGCAGGAATAATATCTTTATCAGTTACAGATGTTGGAATATTTAAAAATGCACTAACATATTCCGGAAATTTTAATTGATCGGTATCTTAAAATAGACAGTAATGATTTTCTTTTGTTTATTTTATTGAAAAAAAAAACTTTTGTTGTTATTGTTTTGTTTTACTTTGTGGATCAATTTCTTTTGTTACTCGTTGAATGTCACTTTCAAGTGGATTAAAACCAAGTGTACGAAGAATTTTACCAAGTAAACTAGTTTTAATAATACCTTGACTTTTTGTATCATATGTATCAAACACTTCTTTCATTGCTAAAAAAACGAATCAATTAAGAAGATTTTCAAATTCAAAAATAATTCTCTAATTATAACGATTTTCAAACGATACTTAGGAGAGACATTCTTGAACTTAAGTTCATATTCTTAGCTTTTTACTGTTCAAATACGATACTTTTTTAGTAGTTTAGTAGCCCTTATTATAGAAGTAGAAATTGTAGATAGAAGCAAAAAGTCTTCCGATAATTAAGCAACAACAGGTACATTGTATTTGATATTTTAATCGAACAGCTCCTTACGGCCTCAATAAATTCAATCTGGTTCCACTCTAGAGAACACTATTTTAGAATATATTTGTATCATGTCTAAAAAATTCTTCAATATTCGGTTTCTTGATTTATTTAGTCGATAGTAAGCGAGTTTTTAATGTTATCTCTCTTGAATTATGTTGTACTCGATATGATTTATAAGATAATTTGCTTGAAGCCATATAATATTTAAGTAAAGTCTTTGATTTGGGTTGAAAGGACTTTTTTTCACATAGATCCGAACTTGCACATCTCTATCGTCAAATTAACATTCAGGATAGACAGAGAAAAAGAAGAAATCATAATTTCATCTATCAGCTCTTTTAAAACCTTATCTATCTGAAGGTAAACTTTATCTTCAAAATGTCAATATATTAAAAACAATAACATCATTTTTGACAAAATATTTAACTTTGATAAAAGAATCCTAAGGTGAAAATAAAGTTAATCTGATCTATTCATTTCAGCAGATATTTATTAATATTAATATCAAGTTAAGTATGTAGATAAATAATAAAATATTATTCATATTTACCTTTTAATTCATTGGGTGTTAGAACACCATTCTAAGAATCAAAAAAAAATTAGATTTTCAAATATTTCATCTTGTTTAACTTACATATTGAGTAATAAGTGTTTTCATCATTTCAGCTTCAGCTTTTTTCTGTCTCTCAGTCTTGACAGGTTTCTTCGCAGCATGTTCTTTATCTCGTTTCGGTGGCTAAAAATACAAAAACAAATTCTTATTATAAGTCTATTACATATTACTAGTCTTCTTCTTTCTTCTTTTTTACCATTTTTCAATTGTATATGATATTAAAATGATAAAATCAGCAAAGAAATAAATTCTTTTTTTTTTCTTTTGTGTATATGTTGATTTTGTGATAAGAAACAGAAAAAAAACTACCAAACAGATCAGAATATATGAAACAGATAAGTGTAATGTCAATTGATGATAGTTTGAATAGTTTTTGTAGTTGTTAAAAGTAAAGGTATACTCGAATAGAATTGTAAAATTGTTGCTTTAACAACGAGAAAAAAAAATTATTCTACAAATATTATTCATATATGAAAGCGTAGAATTTATGTGCCAATTAAAAGCATACATTTTCAAAATTTTCTATGCATTTGAAAGAGATGTATTAACATGTAATAGTAATGAATAACATTCAAGTTTGATTACGCTTGATGTTGATGTTGTTTGAAATAAGAGAAAAATTTCATTTCTTATCGTATTTTCAAGGCTATTTAAATAAATGAGAATTGAAGAAAAGAATATCTCATATTACAGAGAGCACACTCATCAAAACCCTTCTGATTTCATTAGAATAGAAAAAGAAAGAAAATGATTGGCGCTCAATGTACAAAAGCTGAATTCGAAGCTTTTAATCGAGAAGACAAAAAGAAAACAAATCATTCGATTGAATTCAAAAATGCAAAGAGTCGTTTTTAATGCGGTGCGAAGCACAATATTTATGTAGTGCTTTGCGTACGCATTCGGTCTCCACACGTCGCGTATTTTTCGCTGTAACAAAATCCTGAGATGATCCAAACAATTTTGAGTCTTTAATATGAGTTTTCGCTCTTCTTCAGTAAGTTTCAAAATGCACTGATTGTGACCATTTGGTTACCGTCTTTTATTCGAGATAATTAAAACTGGCAAGCTGGTCTGCAATCAATGATTGTGAGTAGGAGAAACAGTGAAAAATTTTGACAGAACAGGATCGACTCTTAGTGAAATCGTTTATCATTCTTTTGGTAATTAAAATTCCATTGACAAAAATTGAGACCGCTCCGCATCGCATTTATGTAGTCTTTAGCGAGTTTTCTTTTTCACTTACTAGTACTTGTACTGTTCTATTCACACATCGAAGAAACCTTCTTCAATGCGTGAATAAAACAATATAAAAACATCTACCAATGATATGTGTATACATAGAAGATGAATAAAACAATTTTTCCACATGAAATTCCGATTCAAATAGAACATCTAACGCAATTTTTACTGCTCTTGTTAACGATACATTAAACAATCAAATTATGTGAATATTATTCTTTGCAAAATGTATAGTTGGATACTTTTGAAAGAATGAAAAGCAGCATGTTGCAGTTGTATCATCAATAAAAACTAAACAAATCAATAGATCGATCTAAAATCTTTTTCTGATATACTAGAAACTATATTCATCTAGTTTTTGAGACATTCGTGATAAACTATATTTTGTTTTTTGGCGTCCACCTCTCAGAATAAATTGAAAGATGACATGAATAGTTTCGTTAAGATCCAAAAAGACGTTGAAAATGAATTATTTGTGATCGTTTGAAATCTACGATGATCAGAACATTGTTCCCGTTTGCATTTGATGCTTGTCAATTGTAATACGAAGGTCATCAAATAATAAGGCAATAGATCTGTTCGAACTTTTACGAATATTGTCTGATGAGGGTGTGGGTGTAGATCGAAGACTATCACACACCCACATCCTAATTATTAGAAATTTGTGATAGAAAAAAAAAGGTAAAAATAATGAATACATACAAGTACAAATTTTACCAACAATAACAACGATTTTTTTTTTAGGGCGTAACAAAATTAAATTAAAAATGTCTATTATCATTATTTTAGTAAAGTAATAAATTTTATCGGATATAGTGAAGCAATGGTAGTTCAACTAGTAAAAAAACAAAATAGTAAATTAATTAATTAACATTCAACGATTCATCGACTCAATAGATTCAGTTTTTAAAATTTAAAATTTAAAAAAATCCATTGTTATCAGAGGGTTCAAGTAATACTTCATTTTATATTCTCGAATATCGTGATGTTCTTATAGCTAATTGAATTCTACTAAGAAAAAATTTCATCAAATCAATAGTCTTCTTGTACAAAAAAATAACTTAAAGTTTAAATTGTTTTTGTCGGATTTAAGCATCAGCAATGAAAATAATCTTTAAAGAGTGGATCATAGGATAAATAATACGTATACAATTCAATCAATCCATGTCAAAGATTTTCACAAAAAAACCTATTTGCGTTAGTTCTATTAACAAAATGATGTGATGTTGAAATCGGAAAAGTTAAAGAGCCAATCAATAACTTTAATATGATTACTAGCTATAGGATCATCGTAAGATAAAACTGATCTTATATCAGTTTATATAATTGAAATATGGGATTCTAAAGAATATTGCTGGAATAAATTAGAAAAAAAACGTGCCATAAAAAAACAACATATACAAGAACAGATTTTATCATAAGATTTATCTTCCCAATTTATCAGTCAACTGTACTTATTGAACCAATAGATACGCAAAAAACATTAACAATAACATAGGATAATTTAATAATTAATTTGCGTGGAGATTCATCAAATGAAAAACATTTAGTTGATAGTTAATGAATAACTCCTCGTTTATGTAAACGATTCAACAACATGCTTACTTACATGATGAGGCCATCCACTGATGTAGGTAATGGTACACATATTTGAAATCGTATAGTGGAAAAATAACGAGTTAGATTTTTTCAAAGATGACAAAATATTAATAATTCGTTATAAACATGTACATGTCATGTGAACGATTTAAAGCAGATGTACAATATATAGACTATTTGCGTGATCCCTATGGTATTAAAATATAAAAAACAATGTGTCAAAAATCAACGATTTAGAATATGTTTCTATGTAAATTATGAATTTTCATGTGAAATCGATAAAAAAATGTTAATCAGCTTGGCATGACGTAGATTTGTTGGTTTTTGTCACAGTGACCGATCTAATATATGTATCACATTGGGAGCACGGTAAATGTTATTCATGAAGTTAATATTAGTCTTACAACATCTGAAAGTTAATACACTAAAATCAAAAGAATGATAAGATAAAATAAAAAAAGGATTGCTAATCGAGTTTTGATGTTCTCCATTATCAAAAGATTTACAAGTTGAGCATGCTCAAAAAAAAATTTTGATCATGTTATATAGCTTAATGTTAAACGTATTGTATTGATTATTAAAAATTAAAATACTTGTATTGTCCTTTTTGTTATTTCTTGTTAATTTATTCCTTTGTTCTTGTTCAGATACTAAACACTATAATCATCTAGTTCACCAGCAAGTCCTTTTTTTTTCTTTTGGTTGAATATGAACTAATTTGTTTTTGAATGCTGTGATTCAAGTTCTATTTATTGGGTGCTAGTGTGGTGCAAAGAGGATAAGTTACATCCACATTCACAACGCTAAACTTTTTACAGAAATCTGGAAAAAAAATGTGAATAACAACGAAAACATAGTAGAATACTGATAAAATGATCGTACTATCGATTATGTTTTTTGTTCGTCGTCGATGATCAATCTGCACATTGATGCGAAAAAAACATTACAATGTCCTGAATTAATTATTCATCAATGATCATCATCAACTTACACTTCACGTTTAAGAAATATATTAGAAATGATCTTATTGTCTGAAATCATTCAATACAATTGAGTACTTGATCATCAAAACATTGGGTAGATACTCTAATAACCTATTTTTCCAGGAGGTGCAATATAATTAAATAAGTGATTTAAGTGACGTCTTCCATTGATGTTCACGTTATCATAACCAATATGTATAGATGGAACCAGAGAAAATGTGTTTACATTCACAGTCAAGATGTTTTCTTCAAAGAGAAGTAAAAAGGTAGAAAAGCTCTGTTCGTAGAACTAGGAAAAGTCCCGTAGAACAGAATGCTCACTGAAAGAGTTTTTACTGTAATAAGAAGATAGGAAAATGTAGGTTGTCTCTATCGAATGGTGTATTTACTTTATTTTTTCAATATGGAAATCAATAGTTTTCCTATGATATAAGTTATAGATATAAAAAAAAACATAGAATTTCTCATAATCTAAAGACTAATGGTGACGATAGCTTTTCTTCTAATGCTTCGTATCCACTTGCATTTGAATTTAACGTCAAAGTATCACGAACTGTAGATGATAATTTACGAAGCAGAGGCTGAGATGGTAATGACACATGATTATGATTTTCAATGATATGTGGAAAATGATCATTGTCTACATCAGTGTAAAAGCCACGATATTCTGTATTATTGATTTTCGGCTGATCTTGACTACTACTTTTATATGAAAAACCAGAAAATTGTAGATTTGAATTGTAACGACTCGTTTAACTTTCATTATTGCGTTGTTCTCGTGTATTATTGGTACTATCATGCATTATTGTATGCAATGGTACTGAAATAATAAAATTATTTTTTGAAAGAGATCGATCTTCATCTATTCTTGATTGATTGTAATCTTCTATCATACTTGAATTTCTCTCATGTGTATTTTCTCGACGACTTCGACACAAAAAAAACAATCAATTATCCATTGCCAAGCATATGGATCATAACTTGAATCTTTTCTTAGTTGGTAAGTAATGCAATACTTCAAAATAACTGCTATTGTTAATATAACAACAATAGCAATAAGTATAAAAATAACAATTAATAATATTTTATTAGTAGGATTTGTTGTACCACATTTGTCCAATAAGAAATAATCATACGATGATATATTATTTGTTGTAGAATTAATTTCTTCATAGTTTAATGATTGTGAATAGAATATATTAATAATCGATCGATTCGATTGATTATCGAAAAGAAGACAATATTCATCTAAACATAATTCACGACATTCATTAGAAAAAAGTATTATTTGTGAAGAATTGTATGAGACAATATTATAACATTTATGAACTTTTGAGATAATATAATAATCTATTGAGTAGACAAATGATGAATCATATTGAATAGGAATAAGTTGAATACATTTCATTATTGATATAGATTTGAATCCAATTAATATATCAGTACAATGTTGAACAAGAATATTTTTGCATGTATTTACATATTGAAACAACAATAAAAGAAACAAAGTAAGAAGTAAAAACTTATAAACATAGATGTTTGTAATGAAAATATTTGTGACAATGTACGAGCTAAAACATTTGTTTACGCTTCATTGCTCTTTCTTCATGTGTTAATTAACGAGTAAAATTTATTATTTTTTTGTTTTTGATTAGTGAAAATCATGAGTTGTATTGACATATAATTATTCGATGCTATCAAAAAAAAAAAAATTACAAATGATGTTTTTCAATGGTTCAAATAAAAAATTTTCTTTTTATGCGGTATATATTATTTGAAATTCAAAAATATTATATTTGTTCAGTAGTTGAAAAGAGATTTAAGGGCAACCTAGTGATTTTTTTCAGTGAAACTGATAAAAAATCTTCTCGGTTCTATGATACTTTTTAATGACAGTAGAATAATCGGATACTGAAGATATTAGGTTAGAAATTTAATTAATTATAGATCAGAATATTTTTAAACATTCATATTGTAGTAGAGCTTATCGAACTCTATCAAACCATTTAATACTACTTCAATAACAATATTTCTCTTAAGATGTTACAAGTATAGTTTGTTTTTGCAAAGTAAATGTCAGGTGTACACTGTTGAGACATGATCAATAAAGCAACCATAACTTCTCATGATGTCGATACCTTTCGAAGTATCTTTTTTTTCGGATGATAGCTCTAATCTTCTTCTACAAAATTGTATATTTCGATGTATTGTTCATATGAGTATTTGTATAGATATCAGCGATTTACAGAAAGGGTTGAAACTGTTAGACTACCTTTTCATTACGATAGCTTTTCAAAAGAAAAGTTCTTGCTTACCTTCTCGACAACTAAATTGGTACATCCGGTGTGAAAAATTTGGATAAAACACCGGCTGTTTTCGTAGAAAACTACTGAAAAACAAAGTGTAGCAGAGACAGAAATCAGTTGAGTTCAATAAAAAAAGATACTCTTCGGTGCTAGTCATAAAGAAGGATAACAGAGTCATTCGGTCATTTTTTTAACAAATTCTCAGTGGTAATACCTCAAGATAGGCTGTTTATCTAAATATCATCATAAGCACATGTTCTTCAAATGTAAGATCTACCTAACGATCTGTGAAGAAAAAGTTAAAAAAGAGTAGTCTCACCATATTTATGGACCTCATGATAACCCGATGAAGTGTATCCAACTAAATCAAAAAGCGGGAAAAAAGTTTTGCTCAAGTTTCGAATAGCTAGTACTTTAAAACAACACTAAATATGAACGAAAATTTTGTTAAAGGAAAACAAGCATTTATTATAGATAGCACAACAACATTACAAAGTATAGCCATGGTTTCCTCTACAAGCAAGTTTTGGAAGCGATAAGAAGTTGCTACGTCTTCTGTTGCAATGCAGTAGATGCTAACATGTACAACACAACATATTTAGGTTTTACTTTGCTACTCATATGAATATGAGAAATGAACCAACGAAGTATTAAGTTCTTTTAGAAAAAAAAAACTCTAAGAAATAACTAATTTTTCCTCTAAAAAATTTACTTTGCATCGTCATTGCTACCTACATATGATACATGTTCAATATACTTCTTTATTTTACTTATACTAGGTCTTCCATGGAAGAGTCTGAAATCATTTGTAAGAATATTTGAATTCATACTTTCTATGGAATACAATAAAGTCCAACAAAGAAATTATTTTGACAATATACAACAATAGAAAATGAATATTACTAAGTGTATGAACGATAAAATAGAGAATAATCAACGATTGTATAAGTGTATACAAGGAATTTGTTTTCCTCTCTTGCTAAGTTGCCTTAGAAAAGAAACAAAGACTATTGTTTTCTTATGTCGGAATACATACATTCAGAAACGCATATTCTATTGGAAAATGACATCAAGAAGCAACGAAGAAAACAATAGTCTTCCTCAGATCAACGCAGAAGTGAAAAATGCCTGCCTGTACGTTTATACTTTGAACTATGCATAGAAATAACTGTATTACACACGCTTTCTCTCATTCTGTTTTGTATTCGTACCTTTTCTTCAGAATTGAATTGTCATTAAAATGAAAAGTTGAGTGTGGGAAGAATGTGAATGTCCATCTTTTCGTTGTCCACACTCACAACCTCATTGATACCTATATTCACATCTGCGCCCGCATCCAGGCTCACATCCACACACTTCTATCATCATGTTGATGATGATAAAAACATATAATTCAATATATGTATTAAAAATGATCGATTTATCTAGATAATACCGATTTTTGCGTGAATGTATTTATTTAGTCTAATACATATATTTTAATAGATAGAAAAAAAAATAAAAAAGGAATACTAAATTAAAAAAACGAATAAATAAAAAAATTATAGTTATTATTTATTTGGTAAGTTGTGTGAGTTTTTCATGAATAGGTGGTTTAAATTTTATTTGAATAAATTTAAGAATATAAAGTGGTAAACATGATATTAAGGTAATAACTACAACACGCCATATGAAAGGCCATGATTCAAGAAATGCACCATCAAAATAAGATTTGAAAATAATTAATGAAAGAACGTAAGCAGCAAAACTTATTATTTCACCGATAATCATTGACGCATGCCATGTTCGAATCTATTTTTAACAAATAAAAAAAGTAATAATTAATACACTTTAGGCAAGATTACAATAACAAAAAATTTTTGTTGATACATCAAATTTCTCAAGACATCAGCTTTTATAATAGAATTATTGATTTATAGTCTCAAAAAACGTACCTACAAATAATAGCGGGTGCAGCAGAATAAATGGCCCTGTCAATATTTTATCTCTAACTCTATTTTTCGTTCATCCAAAAGGCATGATTTTATCATAGAAAGATGCATCGTGAAATTCTCTACAAAGTGGCCTATTTTATCTTGGCTAAATACTGTTCATGGTACTTTAAATCGAAATAGTTTCACTT